TCCTCCCAATAGCCCTTTGAGGGAGGAACTAATGTTTTCCCCACTTGAAGATGAAGAGGTTGTGATTCAGAGTGGGTTTAAAACCTGCCTAAGGGAGTGGCAAAGTAAAGATCCCATTCAGAGGCTGTTACTGCCAACACCTTAGCATTGTACATACTGCCCCTCAAGCCCCAGGGTGCTTGGGAGTGGAACCTGGGCCACTCCGTGTGGTCCCTCTGTCTGTCTCAGCTGAGCTCTGCTGAGAGTGCTGCCATTGCCGCGGTGAGCATTCCACACTCCCTGTCAGCTCACACACAGACCCCTGTGCAGAGAACATATGTCCCTTAATGATAAAGACGCACCCTCTCCCATGCATTGGTTACGAAGAAGTTGGATTGGGTAGAGAAAACTTTCCATTTTATAATCCGCTTCTTCCTCTGCTTGCCTGACACAGTTAATTATTTCGGTCCCCATTGTTCCTCTTGCAATGTTAGCTCGGGGAGCTTTACACGGCAGCACAAAGCAGTGAGCAGGAGGCCCTGGATGAGTGGATTTAAAGGCGAAAACTGCTCTTCCCTGCAAATAGCTCCCTTCGCACAAATAGCCTGGTAATCAGCAATAATGATGAAGAAAATGGAGGGGACACACAGGGAATTAAATGAGGATTTGCTAAAATATTAAGCATTTTTAAACGGGCCTCCGAGGCATCAGGGGAGCACTTCTGAGCTCGTTGAAGGAACATGCTGCAGCCTGAAGTTCCCAGAATAGACTGGTGTGTCTGACAAGAGGGCTCAAACCCTCCGCCCAATCCCGTTCATCTGTCACCCAGGCCTTTCCAGAAGATCTAGCAGCTGAAAGTCTAGCTGCCTTGCCTGAAGAGGAGCTGAAATTCCACCCAAAAATATGCTCACCAGAGTCCTCAAATTGTCCAACACTGACTGCCTCATCCCTTTATGCTGAGTTAATTGATAAAACAAGCATTTATTACTCTATTTGTATGTAGGTGTTTGTTGCAGACTTGGCTTTTTCACAGTATTCTCCCCATACAGATTCCTGAGAGAAATCGCTTCCTAGTTTCAACACCGGAGATAGCTCAGCATCTCCTGAATAGCTTTTCAAAAATCCTGTGGCCACTTGGAACCATGTTAAGATTGTGTTTCCCTCTTTGCACTGGCCACTAGGATGCTCAGGCCAAATCTGTGCACCAAATCATGTGGCACAGGTTTTGATGTTTGTCTTACCCGATTTTGTTTTCTTGTTTTTCCTGTCTCCTGCCTTTCTCACTTTTTAAATTTTTTGTCTCTAATCCTTTTTGGAATAAGGGCATAAATAAGTCCAAAAAAAAAATTCACTTACCAACCTCTTAAGTACTACAAACATATCTCTTCAGAAGTGAAGACTGAGAATTCTTTGAGGACATCTTCACCTTTGTAGTGATAGCGCCTTGAACAGGAGTTGACACAGTAAGTGCCCAACACAGAGCCTGGCATTCGCCCTCACAGTCAAAGAAAATAAAAACGGAGTTAAGCTCTTCCATGAGTGTAGACCTGGATATTTAATCATGCTGTATCAGTCTGCTAGCGATGCTGCAACGAAGTACCGTGAACCAGGGGCTAAAACAACAGAAATTTATTGTTTCCCAGTTCTAGAGGTCAGGAGTCCAAGATCAAGGTGCTAGGCGAGTTGGTTCCTTCTGAGGACCGTGAGGGAGAACCTGTTCCATGCCTCTCCCCTACCTGCTTGTCTGTTGGCATTCTTTGGTGTCCCTGGGCTTACAGAAGCATCACCAATCTCTGCCTTTGTCTCATGACATCCCCCCTGCGTGCGTGTCTGTGTCCAATTTCCCCTTTTCATAAGGACGCCAGTCATATTGGATTAGGGGTCTATTCTACTCCACTCCAGTATAATGTTATCTTGACTAACTACATCTGTAACCACCCCATTTCCAAATAGGACCACATTCTGAAATACTGATGTTTGGAACTTTAACGTACAAATTTGGTGGGGAAGGGACATATTTAATCCATAACACACACATTACAGAGGATGATGGAGTCTCCTGTCCAGTTACACGTGGAAATCAGAGCCGGCTGGGTCTGTTCTGTGTCCTTGAAGCCCCTCCCCTTCCCACTGCCATGTGCAGTCAGCACATGGGCTGTGTTTTCTCAGTGGCTGCCCTGCTCTCTGCCCCTGCAGACTGGGGTCTGTCCCAGGACCTGGCATCTCTCTGACAGCCTTTCACTTTAGGAGAGAATCTGGATGGCCGCAAGGAAGGTTTCTTAACTAAAAGCAAGCCCCTGACGCCTGGCAGTCAGGGACAAGCTGCCCAAGTTAGCCAAGGACCCAGTGGCCCAAGGGATCTTCCTGGGCAAGGGAAAGGACTTCCAGGGTACACTCGTGGGACTTTCCAATGGAAAGGCCACATTTAGACCAGCCACATTGCGAAACATCCTGACATTCTACCACCCAGCACTGTACACAGCCGGGCTCTGCAGCAAACTCACTACCGCCTGGGTTCAGACCCCAGGGTTAGGGTTAGGGTTAGGGTGGTGACTCCTTTCCAATGTGGTGACTTCACCTTTCCTGGCCCCAGTTTCCTCATCTGCAAACAGAAGTGATAATATAACGTAGAGTCATTGTGAAGATAGATACGTTAACACACGTGCCCAGAAGTGGGGAGATCTGGAGGGCAAGGCACGGAAATATTGCTAAGCAAGCACTCAGGTGTACCGCAGGCGTGAAATCCCAACATCGCCTAGTTCACTAAAAAGGCCTCTTATGTGAATCATTTGCTGCCTTTCAAGAACACACTGGAAGCACCTGAGAAGTCTCATTGAAGTCCAACGGCAGAGAGGGACCTCTATGGCTCTGTTACTGGGGTCCTGCACCTGAAGATGTTAGACTGAGTTATTGGAGATGAGCTTCTTAATTAAAACGGTAAAATCAATTGCTTCTTGGATAGGATCATAGAGTAAAGGTGTTGGGAAGCAGGGGCCGAGACCACCAGTGTTACCTGGCGCTCCCTTACCTTTTCCAGTCTAGGACACAGCCCTTCCTTCCTTCCTTCCTTCCTTCCTTCCTTCTTTCCTTCTTTCCTCCCTTCCTTTTTCATAGAAGAACAAAAGTCTTAGATAGAACACCAATGTCTAAAGCAGGCAAAAACCAATATTTTGGTAGCACACTGTGTATTGTGTGGTATCACATATTTTATTCAATGAAAATGAAGCTTTTCTTAATATAAAACCATGCTTGCTCAGGGCATTTGCGCATGCTGTTCCCTCTACCTGGCACACTCTTCCCCCAGGTGTCTGCACAGATTGCTCCTCAAAAGTCGCCGTCTCAGCGAGGCCTTCACTGACCATCTACTCAAAATTGCACTCACAGGCCTGTAATCCCAGCACTGTGGGAGGCTGAGGCGGGAGGATCTCTTGACCCAGCAATTCAAGATGAGCCTGGGCATTTCTACTTAACCCAGATGCCACTTCCTCCAGAAAGCCTCCCAAGATTTTTCTAGGCCCCTATAGCCCTTTGGCACATCAGGTTGAGAGCGCATGTTTGTGGGTGCGCTTCCTCCATTATACTGTGATGTGTCTGGGGGGCAAATGCCTCATCTTATTGCTTTGTGCATCCCCAGTCCCCTGTACTGGTGCCTGGAATGGCAGGTTCTCAGCCAAGGCCAGCCAGAGAAATGAATGAATGAACAGTTATCACTTAGCTGCCACCTGTGTGATATGATTTGAAAAATGCCAGAAAAGCCCCACCTCCCAGCATTTTCCCAATGGACATTCATTAATATAAGAGTCCCCTGCTGAAATGAAAATGCCCTCAGTGATACCTTAACTCTACCTAGCAAAAAAACCAGGAGTCAATTGATCGTATCAGAGTCTGGCTGTGACGTATGACTGAGAATATTCCCTTCCACAACTGAGCACAAGAGAGAGACCAGAAGAGAGGAAGAGGCCACCCTGAAAGACGGAAAGAAAACATCACTTGCTCTGTGAAGAAATCTCCAACTACCACCACCACCCCCAGTCTGAATTAGATCTCCCCAACAAAGCCCAGAGTCTTCCCTCCCCATCACGCCACATTAACAATGACTTTCCACGTATCTCTTTCCTACTGTCTTGCTCATCACTGTATCCCCAATAGTCAGCACAGTGCCTGGCACACATTGGTTGCTTTTTAGAAATTGGGAGAAAAGATAAAATTGAATTTTGGAACCAACATTTATATCTAGGGACCATGGTCATGGTTTAATACGGCGCCTGACAACATCCCAGATAGACAGACAGACAGACAGGCATGTACACACCTCTGCCTCATTCCTTCTCCACCATAGGGCTGTTAACTCCAACCTCAAGGTGAAGACTGGCACAGGGTAGGGAGGTGTGTAGCCCATCAGGGCGCAGAATGTCTTCATATCAAGCGAACATCTGGATGTCTGATTAGGAAACAGCAATTGAATTGGAAAGAAAAGAATAAAAAGCCCCAATTACGTTATTTGACACAGCAAGCGCCTACACGTTATCTCTTGGACCTCTGCAGCACGAGTGTGAGCATGTAGGCAAATCGCAGAGAGGGCAGTCTTGGCCAGGAGCCCAGGCCCTGTGGTGCCTGCTGTGCCACTGACTTCAGGCACCTTGCTGCTGACCCCTTCCCACGCCAGGAGGGGTCCCGTCCTGAGGGCTGTGAATGGTTATGCTCACCTCATAGCACAGGCAGAGCCTGGCACAGGGTAGGCACTCATAAACATTGGTTGGGTGATGGAATGAAGAGAAAAATGAGGCTTAGAGAGATTAAATGACCTGTTCAAGGCCTTCAGGATCAGGTGGATCCAGAATTCAAGCTCAGGTCTGTCCGACTCGGGAAATCAAGAGATGGGAGGGTCCCACCCCGCAGACACGAGGGTGCCCGCAGAGGTTTGGGGTCCCCAGACAACAGGACATCATCTTAATATAAGTCAACTCATCTCGTTTTTTCAGTTTCTCTCTCTCTCTCCCCCCCACCCCCACCCACCACAGCTTCTTGATCCAGTCGACGAAGATAGGCCGCGGATATTTTACCACTCTGAAGGAGGAGAGTGCAATGAAAAAGAGGCAACAACAGCTTGAGAAACTGCAGGAGGAAGAAATAAATAAATTCCAGCCAGCCAAAAAGAGCTCGGAAATCCACTGTAGGGACACCTTACTGACGTAAGTGGACGCAGTAGCGGCGGCGCTAATGGTCTTGGGAAGGACCCCTGAGAGTGAGCCCTGCTGGCTGGGCTGAGCAGGGGAAGCCTTCTTTAGTCTAGTCCAACCCACCTTGCCAGCCTCACCTTCTAAAACATATGTCTGTCCTCATATCTGATGCTAAGAGCCACAAGAGCTCCTTGCCCCCATTTGCAGCCTGGGTCCCCGCAACGTGTGTTTGCGTGCCGGTTCTCTTTATTCTACAGCAGCATCTCTGTTCTAGACCTTCACCGTCTTCCCCAGGGCCTAGCTCAGCATCCACACGAAGCAGGTGCACAAAAAGTGTTTGTCAGTCTGTTGCATAAAGTAGCCCCCTCTTTTTGTAAAGGACTTTTTCCTGGTTGGAAGACAACAGACTGGTCCATTATGAAACGCCCATGCACATGATGACTGATTCCAACAACATCAATAAGTACAACAATAATGATGAGTGTTTAGCACATGCTTTATGCACATCTATTCGCCTAAACTTCAAAACATTCCTCTGGGCGGGGTGCGGTGGCTCACACCTGTAATCCTAGCACTCTCGGAGGCCAAGGTAAGTGGATCGCTCAAGGTCAGGAGTTTGAGACCAGCCTGAGCAAGAGCGAGACCCCGTCTCTACTAAAAAATAGAAAGACATGATCTGGACAACTAAAAATATATAGAGAGAGAAAAAATTAGCCGGGCATGGTGGCACATGCCTGTAGTCCCAGGTACTCGGGAGGCTGAGGCAGAAGGATCGCTTGAGCCCAGGAGTTTGAGGTTGCTGTGAGCTAGGCTGACGCCACGGCACTCACTCTAGCCCGGGCAAGAAAGTAAGACTCTGTCTCAAAAAAAAAAAAAAAAAAAAAACATTCCTCTGAGTTGGGTGCCATAATTAGCCCTATTTTAGAGATGGAGAAATGAGTCTTAGAGATAGTACGAATTTTCCCCAAGGTCATGAGTTAGAAAGCATCCCTGAATCCCAAACCCAGTGGCACTAAAATCCATGGACTGCACCATTCATCGTGGACAAAATCCTGGGATACTTAGCTCGTGCAGAATGAATGAGGCACAAACCACGGACAAGAAAGGAGATGGTGAAGTAGGCAGGGAGGAGATGAGTAGCAGAAACAGCCTGCAGCCGTAGCCATTGTCCATGTCCTGTTAGAGCAGCTGTCTCCACCCCAGCTACACATCAGAATCAGAAACACCAATACCCAGGCTCCATCCCAGGCCAGTCCCATTAGTCTCTCTGGGGGTGTTCGCTGTTCATAGAATCTTTTAAAGTTCCCCTTGGTGATTCCAATGTGAAGCCACGGTTGAGAGCCATTGTGCTAAGGCTGCCTTCAGAAATTGTCAAGTTGCTTGCAAAAGAAGAAACAGAAACCATAGGTGACACCCCCTTTCCTCTACAGCGTTTCCCAAATTCTGTTCTTCAGAATGTTAATTTAAAGAAATAGGAATATGAGCCAATGGAATCATACAAGGCGTGACCTTTTTGTGTCTGGCTTCTTTCACTAATAATGCATTTCAGGTCCCTCCTAGACAGAAAGCAGATTGGCGGTTGCCAGGGCTGGGGAATGGGGGGCAGGGAGGGAGAATGAGGAGTGACTGCTTAATGGACCCGGGGTCTTCTTTCGGGGGTGATGAAAATGTTTTGGAACTAAATAGAGAAGATGGTTGCACAACCTGGTGAATGTACTAAATGCCACTAAATTGGGCCTTTTAAAACAGTTAATTTTATGTTCTGTGACTTTCGCCTAAATAAAAATTTTTTTTTCAAATAGAACAGGGGTTCCCGTCTGTGGAGCCCTGAAGCATGGGATGGGTGGGAGGGCTGGACACTCCTGATCAGGAACCTCTTTAAAGCTCCAGGGTCCAGGTGATGGACGAGAACCCAGACTGCAAGACCACAGGGGGTGGTATATGTCCATCACCCTGCCCCTGACCTGTGGCCCTTGGGAATCCCAGGTCATCGTGGGAAGGGTCTCCTCCTTGACTTCTCAACTGTGTGGACCCTAGGCACTGATCTCTGCCCCCTTTGCACTGTGAAGCTATTACGAGGAAAGTTAACCTTTTCAAAACTGGCAAATATCCTTAGGACCAAAGCAACACCCACACCGCCTCATCTCTCTAGTTTCCATTCTCTCTTCATTGTCACCTAGAGATTCCTGATCCCCTTTTGTCACCTTCTTGCCACTTCTCAGATTTTTTTTTTTTTTTTGCATTTTGTCCAGCATTTGTGGTTATTTTTACCTAAAGGGTTGGTCTAAATAAAGCTATCCTGATATCTGTACATTCATTTATTAATTCATTTATTTATTCTAAGATAAGAGAAAATATTTATGATTTACAATCTCTCCTCTGTGCCTTTTGAAGGAGTGGAGTCCCTGAGGAGGAACCTTTTTTTGCTAAGCAGGGAGAATATGATGCATTCGATACAGCTAGACCAATCCACCTAAGAGACAGGTGACAGCCAGAAGACTGGCTGAGAGGGTGAGCAGAAGGGACCCTTTGGAGGACCAAAGACAGAAAAGGCAACCCTCACTGGAAGAAAGTAGAGATGTCTGCTATAGATTTCTATGAGGTTCTGCCTCACAGTGTAAGATGTGAATCCATTCCTCTCTTTCCCCATGACGTCCTTAGTAAGATGTCAATGGTCTGTGCGTTAGGTCTTGGACCTTTATGTGTTGAAGGCCTACTATGCATGGACCCTCTGATGGCATACACATGTGATAAAGGATTAAGGGAGAGCCCCTACCGCATGCAGCAGCTCAACAAAGCACCACGCGGGTACACACTATCGTGCTCTTAAGTGTGCCCTTCCCCTCATGTGTAGGGTGGAGTGGGAATCCCCAGAGGTGTGACTTTTGAGCAAGTTCTTTAATGCCAAATGGGATTCAGTTGGGTGACAAAAAGAGGCATGTTGAGAAGACACCATCAGTATCAGCCCACCAGAAATTCCTGCAGGCAGCATGTCTGGCTAGGAGGGCCCAGGCAGGAAAAGGAGGTGGTGTGATTGTGTTGTCTTTTGCCAAAAGTCAGGAAGATTCTTTTCAGAGTCAGAACCATGAAAACGTCCTCATCAGACCTTGAAGAAGGGGTATGTGAGACAGAGAAGGCCACCCAGTGAGTCAGGAGGTTCTTACCCTTTCCATGAGGGTCCCAAGGGCTCAGCACAAATTCTGCGCCCCCAGCCTGAGCCAATGGCACTCATAGAGTCTGCTGCTCCAAGTGACGCTAGCCAGCTGGCAGCCTTTCCCTGGAATAAAAGGAAGGAATGAACTCATGGCTCCTTTTTGCAGGAGCTGTGCTCAGATTAACAGGCAGATGCAACAAGCTCGGGGGAAGGAGGGCAACTGTTAAGGATGCTCTTGTGCCTGTTTAAGAGGTCCGGGTGTGACCATCCAGTTCTTTGGAGGGGGTTTTTAATCCGTGTTTGTGGAACACAGTTCTCCCCTCTCCGATCCATGTTTCCGTGTGCAAGACATGGTTTATTTAAAGTTTAATAAGTTTAAATATGCATGAGATTGCTCCTTTTGTAGACATCGGCTTGGTTATGTCTTATCTGGTGGATTCTATGAGCTGTACAAGGCTGGTTATTAAAATAAAACTGGAAGCCATTACTGCGACATAGCCACCAAATGCAGGGGTGGGAGGGTGTTATCAAATGGCTTTAGGGTGTTGTCTACACCAAGACAGGATTGTAGTTAAGAGCACAAGCCTTAGAGCCCGTCAGGACTTGGATTCAAGTTCTGATTTTCCCCCATGCAGCTGTTCAACTTTGGACAAGTCCCTGTACCTCCCTGAGTCTCCCTTTTCCTTGCCCATGTGAATGGTACCAAGCTCCCAAGTTGGTTGTAAGGAATAAATGAAACAATGCTTAACACAGAGCCTGGCATATGGAACATGCTCAGTAATTGTCAGCTATTAGTATGCAATAAAGTGAATTTGATCTTTCTAGGACTCAATTACCTAAAATCCTTAAATTTATGGCTAAAAAATCTTAATTTCCATGAAGGCTTAAAAGCATTTCACATCTAAGAGCTACACTTTTACAGATATAATTCCAATCACAAAAGCATCAAAAATACAAGCGTTCATTTATAAATAATTTTTAACAAAGTATTTGATCCTTGTGCATTACAAAAGCATAAGAGAGGCTGGGCGCGGTGGCTCACGCCTGTAATCCTAGCTCTCTGGGAGGCCGAGGCAGGCGGATTGTTTGAGCTCAGGAGTTCGAAACCAGCCTGAGCAAGAGTGAGACCCTGTCTCTACTAAAAATAGAAAGAAATTAATCGGACAACTAAAAATATACAGAAAAAATTAGCCGGGCATGGTGGCACGTCTGTAGTCCCAACTACTCGGGAGGCTGAGGCAGTAGAATCACTTGAGCCCAGGAGTTTGAGGTTGCTGTGAGCTAGGATGACGCCACGGCACTCTAGCCTGGGCAAAAGAGTGAGACTCTGTCTCAAAAAAAAAAAAATAAGAGATTGTTCCCCCTCCGCCCCCTGCTCTGGATCTAAGATCATAGAATAAGTTCTTTTAGACAAAAATTTTAAGGCTGACAAACTAGGCAGGGAAAAAAAGAAAATCAAGCATGTCCCTAAAGATTTCTGCCTGCAAACAGTCTTTCCCACTATGCTCAATGACCTCATTTTTCAGCTGCAGATTCAGCTGAAAAGGTGTGGAAAAAAAATACAACGGGTAAAATTTGCTTTATTACTGTGGTTGAGAGAAGACATAAAACCAGAGATTAAGGATGTAAAAGTTGGGTTAATTTCCACACATCCTAAACCACTGAGAGACACAGTTAGCCAGTATGGCAGGAGCACAGCAATGTATTTGTTTGTGGTTTCCCCAGCTCTAGGGTTGAATAAAGAATCAATAGAAATGACATTCGGAGGACTTAGATTCTGGTCCTATCCTTTAGTTTACTCTGTGACCCCAGGATTGTCTTCAAATTCCCAGGAGGAAGATAAACTCCTAACACGTGTCCCAGCATCACCTTCACTAGCCCCCTCCATCCCCTTCCCCACACTAAGCCAGAGTGATCTTTCCGAAATATAAATTTCTCCCAGCTAACACTTTCCATGGTTGCCATTCCTTTGAGGACAAAGACAAAAGTCTGAGCAAGAGGATCCAAGATCCTTGATGGTAGCCTGTGGCTTGCTTCTCCAGCCCCAGCTCACAGCCTCCTCTTGCTTCCTCTGCCCCAGACACACTCTCCTACTTTCCTACTCATGACATGCCCTCCACCACAGGGTCTTTGCATATGCCATTCCCTCTGGCTGGGAGACCTTTCCCTCTTCCATGTACCTAGTTAACTCCCATTCAATCTTCAGATTTCAGCTCAGTATTTACTTTTGTTTCAGTTACTATTGCCATAAACACCTACTCCAAAACTTATTAACTCAAGACAACAAACACTTCTCTCTCTCATAAGTCTGCAATTTGAGTAGGGCTCAGAGGGAAAGAATTGTCTCTGCTCCACACAACACTAGCTGAGGCAGCTTGAAGGACCTGTTTCCAAGACGGCTCACTCACATAGGAGGCAAGCTGGAGCTGGCCATCAGCTTGTGAGCCTAGTCCCACTCCCTGTGACCTCTTCATAGGCTGCCAGCTTCCTCACAACATGGCGGCTGGATGCTAACATCCCAGGACACAGTTCCTGGAGCCTGGCATCTTATCACCTCTGACACATGCTATTAGGTCAGTCAGTCACAGAGCCAAGATCCAAGGGGAAAATGGAAATAGACCAACTTCTCTATTGGAGAAGTATCTAAGGATTTGGGGGACATGTTTCAAAATTGCCACAACTTCCTCAAGGAAGTACAGTATTCCCTGGCTTCCATTTCAGTCAAATTCACTATTTTAGGCTTTTAAAGCACTCTCCGTCTGAACACTTATCACAGCTGTGTGTTTGGTTATGCCTGTCTCCCCCACTAGACTCTAAGCTTCAGGAGGGGAGAGGCTAGGTCTGTCTCATATACTGCTGCATCTGTAGCCTGCAGCACAGAGAAGATGTTCAATAATTATTGGTAGAAATGAATGAATCAGGGAACCCATTGACAATCCAGTCAATGAAAGTACTTTAGACCGGGGCTCAGAAACTAAAAGGCCTTCAGGGAACAGGGCCTGAATTAGTAAGGGAAGGGGCAAATAAGAAACCAGGGGTGCTTGAGTCTGGGGCAACCTGAGAAGCACACATCTCATGCAAAGCAGGCAGCAACTCTGAATCTTTGGTTCCACGATTCTCACCAATGGAAACACAGGCCCACAGTGGCCAGAGCTTTCAAGTTTTTGAGACCCAAAGCTTTTTAGTTTTTACCTGATGTCTCCCAATTTTAAAGTATGGACAATTGATTCCATTACACACACACACACACACACACACACACACACACACACAGAGTAGACTAATTAAAACATGTCTGTGAGCTAAATTTGGCCATGAGCGAAAAATACATACCTTATGACTCAGGCATGCCAGAAAAAAATAATACTTTATATAACTGAAATGAATTGCTCCATGATAGTGGAGTCAAAAAAACACTTAAATATGGTATTAAATTGCTGTTTCTAGAATACAGCTGAAAATATTTCTTGTCTGGCCCTCAAAGAAAGTATTTCTGATCTCTGGTATGGTATACCAGCATAGCTCACAATTTATCTATTTACCTTGTTTCTTCTCTTTGCTCCTGCAGGAGAATATGCACTCTGTGAGGGCAGGGGGTTTTATATGCTCTGTTCATGAACTGCATCTAGAGCCCTCATCCCTCAAGCTGGGATTGTTGCCTGGCACATAGTAGGTGCTCAGTAATATCTGCCAAATAAACTCTGGCAAGAGACGAAGCTATTTAAAATCTGCTGCTCATTCACTGCATCCGTTATATTCATTCACTGTGCCTCTTTCTTTCTGCTTTTCCTGCAGCACACACGACGATCAGAAGTTTAAGAAGTTGGGGGCTGGAGCCATACTTCGCCCATTTGCTCCCACCCGCAGCTGCATCCTTGCTCCCTCCCTACCCGAGGCTCACGTGTAAGTAGACTCACCTCCGGCTCGTTTGCTGTGCCAGCTTACAAACTGAAGCCCGGCTGCAGTGACTCAACGAGCTAACGTGCCGAGAGCCGTGGAGCTGTTCCCTTGTCCTCTTGAAAGGGACATCGAGCCCGGAGCTGGCAAAGCTATTCGGCGTATAAAAATAACAGAAAGTAGACATGGTGGTTTAGAGCTAAGTGGCAAATCAGCCAGGACTGAGTCATTCCATTTCTTACCAAGCCAGACACTCTAATGTCAAATAGTTTGCAAAGCCTGATAAAATCTGTCTACAGTCCTCATCGAGCATGTGCAAGGACATCTCAGCCAGTGCTCAGGGGACACGGAGCCATTTCCCAGAGAAGCCCCTGTAGTCTTCAGATGCAAGGCAGGAACTCATCATCGCAGGGCGTAACGGGGGCTCATCAACCCTCCAAAGAACACGCTTGCTTTCTGAAACCTTGACATCTTGTTCCCCTTGTGTCTATTTCAAAGAATCTCAAGCCCAAGTTTTTCTTTTTTCACTACTTGGCACTTTGCAACTGGAAGATTTCAGGCACAGAGATATAAGCTTTTGACCTGAGGGCAGGGTTTTTCAACCTTGACACTAATTGACATGTGGGAAGAAAGAATTCATTCTTGGTCGTGAAGGGCTGTCTTGTGCATTGCAGGATGTTCAGCAGCATCCATGGCCTCTACCGACTAGATGCCAGTCGCTCCTTTCTCCCAAGTTATGACAACCAAAAATGTCTCTAAACATCATGAAATGTCCCCTGGGGGCCAAATCACTCACACACACACACACACACACACACACACACACACACACACACACACCCGACTCCACATTGAAAACCACTGCCTTAGGGGAATGAATTCATTTCGGGCAATGATTCTAGACTTCTCTGTCTGGTCATTTGTCAAATATTGATTAGGCTCCTACACTGTTCACAGTGATAATGACCAATACTGACCGCTCTATAGGCATTATCTCATTCAGTCCTCTCAGCCTCCCTCTGGTGTAGGTGTATTATTATCCTCTCTCTGCAGGTGAGAAAGCAGAAGCTCAGAGAGATGTACTCACCTCCTTGTCGTCACAGCTGAGTGTGTTCCTGCACTGGGTTTTAAGCCAGGTCTGCCTGACTTCAGAGCCTGAGCTTTCATCACTACACACTGCATGGAAAGTGTATCCCAAAGCCTTGCTCTCAGGGAGCTTGTAATATATTTGGAGAGCCTTTGAGTCTTCTGTACTTAAAGACTAAAATAACACAAGAGAGAAATCGCAGGACAAGATGGCAGACAAAAAAAGATTATTAATAAGAGCACTTAGGTCATGGATGGAAGATGCCACAACCATCACCAACACCATCATCCTCATTCTCATCATCATCACCATCACCACCACCCATCATCATCAACACCATCATCATCACCATCATCATCATCACCTTGTATTGGATACGTACTGATCCCTCCCTAATATTTCAGTCTTTGATGAGCCCCAGCTCCCCCCACCCCACCCCATCACATCCCACTTTCCTCCTACCTCCCATAGATTGATATTATGATTAGCTTCTTGGTAGACCTATTTGTTCAGGGACATTCCAACTGACAGCCTAAGCTTGATATTCTCAAAGCATCTCCTTGCAAAAATAGACCTTGCAATTTCTCATGATGTCCCTTGGAAACACTTGCACTTCTGTCCATCTCTCCCACGGACAAGCCTTCTAAAAGCAAATGGTGTACATTGTTTGCATCTGAATCATCTGAGAATGGGGCTAGGGGAGCAGGGAGGAAATGCCTTGGAAAATGTATATTCTTGGGCCCCTCCCATGATTTATTTGCTTGATCTAAGCAAATTGAGTCTTAAATCAGCTATGCAGTGGCTGGAGAGAGTTTCTTGTCCATCTCCCTCCAATGCCAGATGGTGAAACCAAAGCCCAGAGAGGGGGCAGAACCTGCCAAAGGTCTCCAACAGGAATCTTGATCTCCTGACTACTAAGTTAGATCTTTACACTAGGTTTGTTATATGGGCTATTATTATTTTTAATTTCACAGTGGTTGTTGTTATTATTTTTTGTGCCCTAGACCAGAGGTCAGCAAACTTTTCCTTATGGGCCAAACAGTAAATATTTTAGTCTTTGTAGACCAGGTAGTCTCTCTTGCAACTACTTAACTTTGCTGTTGTAGCAGGAAAGCTACAACAATGGAAGTGGCTGTGTTCCAATAAAGTTTTATTTACTAAAACAAGTGGCAGGCCCACTGGCTGTAGTCTGCTAACCCCTGCCCTGGACTGAAGGCTGCCCTTTCTTCTTCTTGGCTGTTAAAGGGCTCTAGCTGCATTTGATGACTGTATCAGTAATCTATGGCTGCATTTCAGACCACCTTAACATGGAGTGCCTTAAACAACAACCATTTATTACTGGTCAGCTGGGTGGTTCTCCTGGTCAGGGCAAGCTCGGCTAATCTTGGCTGGATTTGCTCATGTGTGTGCCCCCAGCCGATGGGGGAGCTGGAGGTTGGCCGATCTAGAATGGCCTCATTCACAAGTCTGTTGGGTGATTGGTTGGTGGCCAGGGTGATGGGAGTGTCTCTCAACATCTGGCAGGCTAGCCCAGGCTTGTTCACATGGTGGTCAGAGAGAGTTCGAAGGACAAGACTCTAAGCCCTTGAGGCTCAGGCTCAGAATGGTGACATTCTACTGGCCAAATCAAGTCATCAGGCCAACCCACATACAAGGAGCCAGAGGAAAGACTCCACCTCTTGATGAGGGGAAGCAGCAAAGTCATGTTGCAGAGTGTGCAAAGCAGAAAGGGATGACATTGTCGTAATCAGTCTACCAAAAGGCATCAGGACAGGCCCCACCTGGCCAATTCCTGGATTCTCAGTTGTCACATCAGCCGATGCGGATCAGAGCCTGGTTAGCCCCTTCAATCCCAATGTGATTGATCCCAAAACTGCCAGATAATTCTGAATCGACTGTGCGGGGATCAGTTCAATCATTTCACGGGAGATTTGACCTTTATCTTTAAGAAGGGGAGCAGGTGGTCTCTAGGAATGAGAAACAACCCTGCGTTTTCTCTCCTAGATAACGGGGCCATCCCCCACAGCCTTTTGTGAGCAATCGTGCAGCAAGTGCAGCGTCCGCAACCTGTGTCCAGATTTGTCCTTGCGATCAGCATGGGGTGCTCGGGATGGCTTTGAATGCATTTTCTGATTTCTCTTAGTGAGAGGGGAAAAAAAACGTTTTCTTCTCAGAGATGTCTATGCCCACTGCTATTCTGGTTGGTACAGCAGTTTTAATAGAGGGAGCTATTCAGGTGTGCTGACCACTGGTGCTTGCCTGGAGTTCTGAGCTCAGGGATCTCAGAAGCAGGCTTTGTACGTCCCTGTTCAGCATTTGCACCCGTTATGCCCTGCATTTAAGAAAATAAATGCTTTCTCTTTTAATTTGATAAAATCCAAGATATTGTGCTATGACCTGACACATGATCATTACAAGAAAGGACCAATTTCTATCAAACATGTTCCTGGGGACTTTTTTCTTTTTAGGTTTGTTTCACTGCAGATTGGACGAGTGATCATCAGGTTTGAGATGCTTTTTATAAACAGAGAGAAAGGTCCAGCCCATCAGATAAAACTCTATTCCGATGAAAAGCAAAGTCTCTGACCTATAACAAGAGACAACATCAACATACTGTCGTTAAGAGCATGGATTCAGGTGCCAGGCTGCCTGGGCTCAGATTCCAGCTCTGCCATTTGCTGGCCTTTGTGACCTTGGACAAGTCACATGGCCCTCTATGCTTCATTTTTCTCATCTGCAATGTGGGAGTAATAGTACCTTCACAGAATTTTATGAGGATGAAATTAGTTAATGAATGTTGGACACTTAAAACAGCATCTGGCACAGAGTAAGCGCTCTATGGGAAGCATTTACTATTACTATTAATATTATTTTGCTGCTGCTGTTGTTGTTACTCTTCATTATCTCAGTAGTTCTGTATATAAGAATTGTCCCCAAGTTAGCAGCTCAGGAAAATGTCACATCCAGCCCAATTCATTCCCACTATCTTCCACTCAGTAACCAGAAACACACTGAGCCTACTCCGTGTGTGGCACAGGGTATCCTGTGGTGGACAAGACTCTGTAGCTTTCAGGTTCATGGGCTGGAAAGACAAGGAAACAGGTACTTACAATGGAGCAGAAACTCAAAGGTGGGGACAAGGGGACCCGTTGTAGGGATGGAGGTGCTTTAAAATCTCCTTAGAGAGAGTCTAACCCAGACCTAGAGCAATCAAGGAGGGCTTCCTGGTGAGGGTGATAATCTGAGCAGAAGCACAAGCACTGAAAGATGAAAAAGGAGGAGGAGGGGAAATATAGATAAGGAGGAGAGAACAATGCTAAGCACTTTACCCTACCCTCGCGCTCACCTTATAAGGGAGTTACTGCAATTACCACCATTTTACAGATGAGAAAACTGAGACTCAGGGAAGTTAAGTACTTTGGCCAAGACCACACAGCCAGTAAATGACAAAAGTAGGATTTTAACCCAGACAGTGTGAAGGGCAGCGTGGTGAGTGTGAACAACTGAGCAGAATTTTGCCAGGCTGCAGAAACAAGTGGGACGACGCAAGGCTGGAGAGGTGGGTGAAGGCTCCTGTGTGCTGGTGTGTTAGTCTGCTCAGGCTGTCATGATAAAACACCAGACTGGGTGGCTTGAAAAACAGAAATGTATTTTCTCACAGTTCTGGAGGCTGGAAGTCCAAGATCAAGGTGCCGTCATGGTTGATTTCTTCCGAGGCGTCTCTACTGATCTCAGAGACAGCTGCCATCTCTCTGTGCCATCTCTCACATGGCCTTTTCTCTGTGCACGCAGCACTAAAGTCTCTCTGCATGTCCAGATTTCCTCCTCTTATAAGGACACCAGTCAGATGGGATTAGGGCCCGCCCTAATGGCTTCATTTTTAACCGAATCATCCCTTTAAATGCCCTATCTCCAAAGTACAGTCATACCCCAAGGTACCGGGGTTAGGGCTTCAACATATGAAGTTGGGGGTGTCCGCAATTCAGCCCATTACAGAGGATTTAGGGAGTTTGAAGATTTTAAAGCAAGGGAGGGAGAGGGTCAGGTTTGCACCTATTCTTGCCACCTGCAGAAATGAATCTTGTGCTCACGCGCCCCACATCCCCAGCACCGCCCTGTGACCAAGCAGACCCCATCCCACCAGTTAACTCCCTTTGAGTGCTTCTCTGCCCACCTCAAAGATCCAAAGCCCAGGTGTGCAGGGGCTCTAGGATGTAAAACAGAAGAGCAGGTAGGCATCACCCGCAGCCTTCCACAGCTTCCTGTGGTTATGGGGAGGGTGTAGCGAGGTGCTCACGGCCCAGTGCCAGGCACACGGCACAGCTGCTGCTGCTGCTGGGTTAATGCTGTACACAGCCCGTGTGCAGAGTTACCAAAATGCTGTCACCTGTAGAGCCCAAGATGGTGTTCAGGAGGAAGAGAAAGACAAGAACTGGAAGGGCTGTGGGCTTACAGGGCCTCAAAATGAGAAGTGAGGGAAAATTAGGTGCTCAATTATTCACTAAAACAATTTGTGGAAGAAAAAGCCTCCAGAGAAGAAAGGAAGGAGATCTGCTGCCTCTAGTTTTCCTAAGACCTGGCAGACTTGACCACCCCAGGACAGGGGGGTGAGGGAGCTGGAGGGAGGTGGGGCTGGAGGCAGTAGGGTGGTTCCCCTTCTAGCTGAGTGAAACGGATGCCTGTCAAGGGTAAGCCGGGGTAACCCTGGCCCAGCTGCACACCTGCGCCCGGGGCTTGGGCCCCACCTTCTGAAGTGGTGCCTTCCTGGAAACAGGGCGGGTAGATACCTTCCTCCACCTACAAACACCAGGCCTAGGAACCCTGGGGAGTGTTGATCAGGCAGGACGAAGTTTCAGAGAAGAGCAATTACACAGGTTCTTAATGGAGAACTGGCCCATTAGTGCAAGAGGAGAAGTAATGGGGGGAGGAGGGCCGCTGGCCAGGACTCCACCTTGTTTCCAGGAAAAAGGCAGGCAGCAGGTTAACCCTCTCCTGACCTCGCTCTCAGGGTGACCACTGCGCTGGCTTCATCAGTACCTGATCAGAGCCCAGGTCCATGGGAGCACAGTCTTTGGGGTTAAAGAGACCCCAGTCCAAATCCTCACTAATCCTAGCAGTGTGACTTCAGGTAACTCACTGCACCTTTCTGGGCCTCATGTGCCTCATTGTAAAGAGGAGGTGGGAACAGCGTGCTCCTTATAGAGGAGTCCTGACCTCTAAATGAGATATTAAGACACCATCTCTCTCACCAACAAGCTATGTGACCTTGAGCAAAGTGATTGCACCTCTCTGAGCCTCAGTTTGTAAATAAAACTTTATTGGAACACAGCCACATCCATAATAATAATTCATACCTAAGCACGTTATTGGGAGAATTAAAAAATATATATTTACATTATGCCTAGCTCATTGTAGGTGTTATATTAATACAAGGTGTCCAAAAATATCAGAAAATGTTGGTTGGACGTATTTTTAAACAATGTTTTAGTTAACATTTTCAAATAATATGCTCAATCTGTTTTTCTTCAAGATCCAGCTATATTTTTAGCAAAGGACTTATAAATTTAAAGCAATATGTCCAATTTTTAATCTGGGGGAAAAAGTCCAATTAATACATGAGTTTCCCTGCGTTTCCAGACTTTTTGCATACTCTTAGTTTATTTATTTTACTTTTATCAGATTAACAATTGGGCATCCTAGGATATTAATTTCCTTCAAGCCTCTGGTTTGCCTGAGTGAAGACCTCCAGGTGGAGTCGCAAGATTCTGCCCTACACGTACACAAATTCCCAATAATTGGAATAGGATCATCTCCTTTCAAATTATGGCTCTGCCACCTACTGGCCTAGTGACCTGGCACAACATCCTTAACTCCTCTGGATTCCTCATCTGTAAAATGGGGTTAATGAACACCTCATGGGGCCATTGCAAAGATCTAATGAGGTGATGTAGGCAAAATACTTACACATGCCTGGAACGTGGTACCAGCTCTCAAACTGGAAGCCAGTACGACTACTATCTCTATGGCTATTACCATGCAGAATGTTGTTCTAACAGGGTCACACTGTGCTCCCTCTCTCTGTCTTTGCAGTGAGCCCCTCTTCCGCCAGCTCTGTGCCCTCCACTGGCTCCTGGAGGCCCTGATGATCGACCACACCCACCACACCATGAACCCCCTGATCACCTGCTGGAATCCAAAGTACGCCTCAGCCCTGCAGCATGCCATAAACTAGCAATAGACTGGGCAGTGGGAAAGGAACTCTCCTAGATGTTCTTCCCCTCTTTTGGCTGTTTTTGGTGGGTGGGTTGCTTTAGGAGCTCTTCTGTGTGCTCTGTGGGGTCCAAACAGGGGTGAGCTGGAGTCAGCTCACATAGAATTGCAAGAGCCAATGGTGTACATCTCCTTCCAGCATCTCTTCCCAGCTCCACATTCAGTAACATCACATTGGTAGTTCAAAATCAATCAGCCACAGTGGGAGCATTTACACCACAGTAACGGGCAAGCAATACCAGCACACCACAGCTGGATTCCTCTCCAGCTCTCTTCTTGGACTGTGTCTCCCCAACACTGTTCTTTGTTTGTTGTTCTTCCTTTTCCTCCTTCTTTCCTTCCCTTTTATTCTTCCCTTTCTCTTTGTTCTTGTTTTTCCTCCTTTCTCTCAAGGTTTTGTTTTGTTCTGTTGGTTTTTAATGTATATTGGTGGCTACTTCTCCACTTGGACCCAAGGAAGTACTTCGTATTCAGGTCCCTGGAGCAGCTATGTCTGCACAGGCAGAAGCTCCAGAACGTGTTGTCTTGGCCAAGAGAAGTGTTAGGTGGGTCCTCACCAGAGGCAAGGGCTCACACAAAAGCTTTGAGGCCATTGTTGCAGAAACCACGTGGTACCCACTAGGTGCAGAACAAGGAACAGACAGGCATGGGAAGACTCTGGTTCTTTAAGAAGAGGCAGATTGTCTGCAAGAATGGGACAAAACGAAAGTAAAGAACCATGACCTGAGGAATTGCATTTGCACTGTGAAAACCATGGCTGAGTTAAATAAAATGTTCCCTATCTCCAATGCTAACATTCCCCACCCCATACACTGACACTGGCACCCTCTCACTATCCTGCCTTCCAGGTGAATTCATTCTTCTTCCTCTTCCAAAATCCCGAGTATTAATCAACTCCTTCCTCCTGAGGATGCTTACCACCCATCCCCCAAATTTCCAAATCCCTTCCACCCCGAAGTTATCTCTTACACCAGAACCCAGATAAACTGACCTCAGATACAACCAGAAATATAAATCTCGCATCTATTGATCGATGAGTAACTCCAAATCGATTCAGTGTTTTTGGTTGGGATGAATTTAAAACTGTAGTTTCCTTTGATACAAGTGGTTTGCAAACTTAATTTTTAAACAGCAGAAATCCATTTTTTTAAATGGAAGCCCCAAAAATGTAAAATAGATTTTTCTAATGGAATTTCTGCATGAAGCAAGAGGTTTGGGGGCTGCAGAGATCTGGGGTATCTCCAACTTGCTCCCATCCTCCCATGGCACCCCAGTTATTTCCAAAATATATTTTGTGGCTCCCAGAATTTATTTGAAAGCCACAACCTTAAAACATTTCCCATGCATTATTTATTTTTCTTTAAAACTAAACTGCTCAAGTAATAAGGGAACACAATTTATTCTTATGGAAATTTTTTCAAAAAATTTACAAGTATATAAAGTATGAAAGCCTTTATTCCCTCCCTGAAGTCCCGTCCTTAGAGAAAACCCCTTGTAAAGGTCTAAAGTGTGTCCTTCCAATTCTTTCTAATGGCTTCCTTTTATAAATACATGCAGATACATTTTTTAACAGAAATGGGATCATATTCTACCTATTGTTCTCTACATGATTTTTCCCCCTTTTACAATGACTCACAGACATCCTTCCATGGTGGCACATACAAAGTTTCCACATTCTCTTAACAACTGCAGAGTACTCTATTGTACGGATGGAGTGTAATTTAGATAACCATTTCTCTATCACCAGATGCTGAGGTCATTCCCAAATTTTTGACATTTCAAGTATGGAATATACTTATACCTATCTTTTATGCTCAGTTGCAAATATTTCTGCTGGCTAGATTATGGGAAATGAGAATTTCTAGGTAAAAGCAACATCTATTTTTTTTCCCACAGTTGACTGCTTAGATTCTAAGAAAAAGGGCTCTGTGTCAGTGGGTTTCCAATAACATTTTATCTCCCTGAGCAAACCAACAACAACATTTTGCCTCTGACATGTGAGCACCCATTCCCCCTCAACAGAAGAAAGAATACCCTGTAGAATTTAGATCAAGGAGAAAAAGGGGACCGTCTTTATTTCCTCTGGTTGGTTTTAGAAATGCGACCAAAAACTGTTAACTGCAGTAAAAAGACATAGTGGTCACATTGAGAGTAGCAGATGTTCTATCATGACTTGGAAGGGCAGAATTCCATTAGGCATCTCATGATGTCCAGTTCTATAAAAGCAGAACCTGAAACTGACCCAGCCAGACATAAGAGAAAAATGCAGTCCAGGTAAGATTCCCACAGAAAGTAGAGTATTTGTTGGGATTTGTTTTTTCTAGTGGATCATTTCCTCGTGATGGGGATTTTAGCTTGAGGTCAGTGATATGCTGGTTTAAGTGTTTAACAAGCAGTTCTCTAGGGGGCCAGGAGCCATGATTTGAAACAACGCCAATTTCCATGGTGTAAATACTCCCGCCATAACTGATTCAAGCTTACCAAGATGATGTCACTGAACTTGGAGTTAGAAGAGATGTACAAAATCAGTTCTTATGAGACAATATGAGACATCTCCAGCACACCACTGTTTGGGATTTATTTTTTAATTATGAATCGGGGGACAAGGGGTTAAGTTTCCTAGGGAGTGCCAGAAAACATCTTTTTAATTAGCAAGAAAGCAGAAGGCTATCTTCTCTTTAATACTTAATCCCTATTTATGATGTTTCACCCTTATGCCGTAGTATGAATTTCCCTAACTCTTCAAATGCATTGTTTTTAAACCCGGAGGGATCAGAGTGATGGAAGAGCAAGGGTTTTAGCATCAGACGGACCTGGATGAGTCCAGGCTATGCCATCTAATAGCTGTGTGACGCTGGGCAAATCGCTTAGCATCTCTGGGCCTCTGTTTCTTCATCTATCAAATGGGTTCCTGCCTCGGAAGAGTTATTGTTAAGGATTAAGCAAGATAAAGTACATAAAACATATAGCCTAATGTCTGAGAGCACAATGAGTGTTCACTAAATGAGAGCTATTAAAGATAAAAGTCCCTTTTTTGAAGAGCAGTTAGGTGTGTGGTTTTCAACACCATTGAAACTTAAGGCTGGGAAAGAAATTATAAACTTCTGAGCAGAATCTTACCAACACGTGAGATCCATGTTCACTGAGTGGTTGGACAAACATACAAACAGACAGGGAAAGAAGGCTACACAAGGTCACCCAAAATCTAATTGCAAAAATAAACAATCCAGGGAATTACTCCAAGGAGGAAAAACCAAATCTCCAGTTCTCCTGACTATGCTTTTCTGAGAGTCCACCATTAAGCAGCCAGTCTCTTATTATTAAAGCATTTTAAGACCTAAACTCAGAGCTCTGACACCCACCTTGCACTTTCCAAAAGGAAACATCCATCCCTGGAGACTTGTAGATCCCAGAGGCTTCGTTCCTATTAGGCATAATGGCAGGTATAGGTCCAATCCCTCCCCCTCATGGATTTTATAGCAAGAAAGTGGGAGTAGTTCAATACTTCAACGTGGGCTTTCTACAGGGAGCAAACTTTCACTAACTAGCAGTTAGCGTGTTGCAAGCAGAAGGGTTGGTTGTGGGAAGAGCTCCTATTTGGATGGATTGGTGGCCATTGGGCAAGAAGACAGATGAGAGATTTGGGAATGTCATTATGAGTTGCATCTGAGTCTCTGCTTTCCTTAGGGAAAAACTTCTCGACTTCCCAATTTCATCATGCAGCAATTCAAACACATTATCATTTCTCAGCACCCTTGTTAATTCCGCTGCTAACAAGAGAGTTTATTTCAATTGACAAGATGATCGGGTCCACAACTAAAGCAGAAGCTGAGCCTTCAATTACGAATGTGCCAATTACCCTTCTCTGAGAGATACAAGCCTCTGTTTAGGCAAAGTTGGCCTGATTTTTCTTTTTTTCATAAAGGCTCTCAAGTCTTTATTCAAACCCTTACAGCCAACCGTGTTTCAGAATTCTGAGTTTTTATTTTTGCATTTTAAAAAGGAAATACAAGGCACATACCATTTAGAACACCACAGTCCCAAAGGAGCCCTGTCATCAAACACAATATTTCTGCAGAAAACAAATAAGTGAATATTTAAGTGTGTGATAAAGACCAATAAAGGCCATCGATAGCCTCTCATCAGTTCATGTCACATTTTGCTGCAAATAAGTTATTAAAATGTTTTTAGTTCTCAAGACACTTTGGATTTTGGAATTGGGTAAGAAGAGGTGAACCTGTATTAGTGTGATTCCTGTTAGAGACTAACTTTCCAAGACTGACCAGAAGGACTAGCTAGAAATGAGTGGGCCTTTACAGAGAAACAGGCAACCAACACCAGATGTTGGGGAAACATGATAAGCTCTAATGCCACCTCCCCCACCACCCTCTCAGGCATCTTCCCCAGTCCCTCTGGGAAAAAGCAGGGCAAACCCCTGGCCAAAGAGAGGAATAAACAGTTACCAATTGAACCTCCAGGCAGGGTACAGCACACCCCTAGAAGGAGTTGTTCCAACAGTCCCCACATTCCTGAGCTCTGCCCTGGAGCCACCAAAGCAAAAAAGTTGTCTAAGTCTCATTGCCTTGGGCTGTTCCAGAAAGACACCACTGGACTCACTCTTAACTGGGGAGGCCAGGTGGGTGTAATCCTGGCTTTTATTAAGAGACTGCAGATACTCAAGGGCTGGGCTGCCCAGGCACAAAGAACCCACCCTTCCTTAAGAAAGCACAGATGGGTAAAAGGCAACCACAGTTTGATGTGTCAGATATAATGCAAACATCTAAATCCTTCTACTGTTTTATGATGAAAAGAGCTAGCATTTGAGTACTTTCTATGTCAAGCACTCTGCTCTAGGTATATTCCTTCATTTAAGCCTCAGTCCAACATGCCAGTGAGGAAACTGAGGTATGGGAATTTAAGTAATTTGTTCAAAGTTGCATAGCCAGCACAAGAAGAGTCAGGATTTGAACCCAGTTAACCTTGCTGCAAAGCATGAGTGCTTCACCACTAAATAGTTGTTTCCTCTGTCTATAGCTAAAGCTCAAAGTCTGCAATTATTTTGGAGAATTATCTGGTGCCTGCCTGTAAAGAGAGAATATCTCATTACAAAGTGGCACTTACTAGAGGGCCCTGGGATACAAAAGGGACCTGATTTATCAAGATAATATGATATATAATATGTCACTTTCTTTTGTCAGGTAATTAAAAGTGCCATTCTGCCCATACTGTTTTGCAACTAAATTTTTGCTGTTTGACTTAATATATAAGGAGCATCTCTCCATGTCTGAACCTCTGCTGTGCAGTTTAATAACCTATGAATGTATAGAAGCATATTTAACCAAAATCCCAAGACCCTCATGTCTTTTCCAAGCTTTTGCTTTCATGAAACAATGCAGCAACATTCTCAACAACACCCATTAGCAATTTTTTATTTAAATGTTTTATATTTAAATTGTTTTCCCCTTGCCATGTGGTCCCCTTCCCCCCCGCTCCCCCTCGGTCAAGAAAATGTCAGTTTCCTCAAATCTGCTTTTTGCAGGCACTACTTATAAGGGGTACTGCAAAGAAGAAAACAGACAATATCTCTGTTCTCAGGAGCTTCCATTCTGGAGGGCAGGAGGGAAGCTACAGAGAATAGACATAAAATAATCAGGATACGTTGTGATAGCAATGTGTTAGGACAAAATTGATGGGTGGCCTGATAGTGACAGGGTAGGGGGGGTTATTTTTAAATTGGATCATCAAGCAAAGACATTTGAGTGAAATCTCTGATTTCCCCTGCTCTCCTCTTCACACTGATTTAATTGCATCATTCTGCACTCTGGCATTCCAACAGCCATCTCTACGGAGTGGGAGAACATGGCGGGATGATCAGATTATCACTCAGGAGGCAGGACGGAGCCACCTGGCCTGGGACATCCCAAGAACTTTAACCTCTGCCCCCTTCCCAGGGCAAAATGAACAGTTCTCCCCCTTGGTCATGGACACATGAACATGTGTCCCTAAACCAGCCAGCAAGCTTTTCCACCCTGAGAAGCAGACATTTTACCCTCAAACGTAAGTTCAGAAAGAGAGAATGAAGTGTTTGAGAAAATTGCTCTGATTGCCACTGTGGAAAAGACATCTTCAAGTGGCCGCCCAGAAGAAACTGTGCTTGGTGGATACAGTTAAAAGAAATTCGACAGGGCTCGATGCCCTCTTCCCTTGATTTCTGGCAAATAGGATCCCCTAGAAAGCTTCGGCAGGGGGGAATTATGGTCTGGGAACTACAGCTACTTCTCCCCCATGGATCTGCCCTAGTAGCTCATCAACACTTCCTTTAAGCCACTCAAAGATCTCCGTTGAAAAAAGCATGTTACTGCCATTAGTAGCTGAACTGTATTCAGTTCTCTGTACAAGGGACCCACCAAGCCCCATTTCTTTTCATCTCCCCAGCCAGCAATCCTTTGGCATAGCTAATATCATCCCCCCATTTTACAGATGGGAACATGGAGGCTCAGAGAGGCTAAATAACATACACAAAGTTGAACACACATAGGAAGCAGTGAGGCAGAGGACAGCTAGCTGGTCCACCCAATTCTTAAATTTCACTCTTAACCACCAAGATAACACTTTCCTGGTTCTGACACTCAGAGACACTTGCCCAGGTCACACCGACAGTAAATCAGAGGCCAGCAGTTAGGTGAGCTATATTAAGCTGTCATAATGAACAACCCCCCAAAATCTCAGTGGCTTAAGGCTGAAAAGCAGAACGGAAGCTCATTTCTGGCTCACCCTGGATGTCCTACAAGTGGGCTCTTTGCTCATTTGCTCAGTCAGAGACCCAGGCTGATAGAAGTTCCATCTCAACACAAGTTTCCACCATCAACGAGGCAAAAAAGGAATCTGATGACTTGAAGGCTGTCTCTTCAAGCATCTGCCCAAAGTGCCACATGACACTTTTTTTTTTTTTTATTTCAGCATATTATGGGGGTACAGATGTTTAGGTTATGTATGTTGCCCTTGCCCCCCCCCAAGTCCGAGTTTCAAATATGTCCATCTTTCGGGTGGTGCGCATTGCACTCTTTGTGTATGAAAATACCCGTCCCCTCCTCCCCCCTCCCCCCTGTCCAACATCCAATAGATGTTATTCTTATATGTGCATTTATGTGTTGATCAGTTAATACCAGTTTGATGGTGAGTACATGTGGTGCTTGCACATGACACTTTCACTCATGTATTTTTGAACAAAGCAAGGCACAGTGTCAAGCCTGCCTTCAGGGAGCGGGACAGAACTGGGACTATTTGGTGAACACACTCACGATTATCCCACCAGACCATGGGGAAGGAACGCCAACTTGCTTGGCTTTACTCCACAAGGTGTGTAGTGGACGACTTACCTCCGGTGGTTTTATTTTATTTTTTTTTTCTTCTCCCTATTGATCTTCCTCTTTGGTTTATTTGCTACTGAAAATGAAACATCAGAAAGACCAGTTCTGTCTAACTAGGTCTTTTCTGTATCAATGGCTTTGCAAGAGCAAGGGCTCAGAGCTTTCTTAAGGTCTGTGGGAGTCTTGCTGCATTTTTAACTCATTTAGCCTGGTGCTTGAAGTCGCAATAGATTTCAGGTCATCTTGGAAGTCAGCATTAAGGGGAAAACTTCCATCTTCCCAACTGGGTCTGAATATTTAAGATTTTGAAAGCTTGGCTGGGACCAGATTTAATTTTAAAAGGGGAAAGGGGGTTGCTTTTGAACTTCCAGAAGAAGGCTGGAGGCTCAGCAGGGGCTGCCTTAGCAAAGGGAAAAGCAAAAAGCCCTGTAGCCTTGAAAGAAACGCTCCGAAGCGAAAAAACGCTAAAGCTTCCAGTTGGTGAGCCTTAAATCAGACTTCAAAAGCACCGCTAGTTTAAATATTGTTTATAGGACCGAAGTATTGCTTCTTCTTCCTCTGGCTGGATTTTAAATATCCCCCTAATTTGATTACTCGGGGGAGAGGCAGGCAGAACCAACTTAAATGAGCTTCACTGTTAATTATTCAGAGGGCTTTTTATTGTGTAATCAAACATAAAAGTCTTACAAAAGCTCAGAGGCACATTCTCATCCCGCCCTCCCCGGCCTGATTTCCACCTTGGGGTCTGTGTGTATTTCTCCCGTGATACCTGTTAGCTGGCAGATATTCAGCAAGATCCCACTGGCCAGAAGACATTTCCCATCTGGATTAGGAAAAGCCCTTGTTTCTGCTACTCAAATGCCCCATGCCATGAGATGTCAGCATTAAGTTAGGTTTATCTTGCTCACCTTTCACCTTCTACACCTGAGCACCTTCCCCACCACCAGCACTGCTCTCGACACCCACTAACAATTCTAGACCCCCATCACCCCCGATCAAAACAGGTCTGTCCATCTTCTCATGTCCTCAGTCCCTGCTCTATGCTAAGGGAGAGCCAGCCAAGTGCTTTAAAGGATCCTACCCATTTAAAATCCTTTCTGCAGCGAAAAAGGGGATTAAAGAAAGAGATGGATGGATGGGTGGGTTGATAGATCAATCAATCAATAGATATGTAAAGGTAGTTGAGAGATCACACATCGATACCCCCTGCTTACTTACCAAGAGAGACCCACAGCCCTATAGCCACGAGTCCAAAATCCAAAAGGCTCTAAAAACTCAGTTTTTTCATAATTCCTTTGGCAGCAAAATCTGACAAGAACCAACCTGGCAGCAAAACTTGACTTGAAGCTATTTATAGTCTTTATTTATCCCACCTAGTGTAAATATCCATGAGCTTCATTGCAGAAATATTAATGTGCTCGATTACAGGTTGCTGCTCCCGACCCCATCCCAGGGATTTTGTTAACATACAGTATATGCAGCATCCATAACGCTGCATATTTTCCAAATGCCAAAAATGAATTTGGCAACACATCTGGTCCCACGGGTTCCCGATAAGGGATGATGGGCACGTGACCTCCAGAGCCTGCTGGGGCTCTAGTCTCCTGTCCAGAAAGTTCTCAATCTGTGAGGGGAGGATGCAGGTTTTTTGGGACCTGAAGCTTATTTAATTGGGGCAGGTGGCACTTTAAGAAAAAGAATACAAAATTACAAAATGAAATTAGGCACAGGGCCCTGGGGAAGGGACCCATGTCAGTGATGGGCCCTGGAGCTTTAGTTTCATCAGTTTCATTGTAAATCTGCATCTGGGTAAGCGACTTCAGCCCCCTGAGTTTGTTTCCTTAGCTGTGAAATGGGATGGCAATGACTATATCACCAGGTTATAGTGATGGAGATGGTTCAGTGAGAAGGCACGGAAGTGTCTTGCACATAGCATCATAGAGAACTTTTGCTGACTAAACCTCAAATCAGTGATTTTCATTATGCAACCTCATGAGCTCCCCTCAACCCAACCTAGTAATATTCTCTGTATGTCACTCAGAAGTGTCCCTGATGTTGGGACCCTTAGGCAACAGTCCCAGCAGAGATTCAGAAATGAACACGGATGTCATGTTCACCCCCAGGAGTAACTGCAGGCCTGCCCAGGAGTCCAAACTGCAAATAGAAGCAAAAAGCATACAGATATATGCCACCTCCCTCAGCCCCCGCCCAGTAAGTGATGGTCTCTTCTAACCTCAGTTCCACTCAAAAGACCCAGCTACTGAGAACTGTGCCTCCTGCTTCTTCACATGTGCAGGAGGAGGGAAAAAAATCTCAACAGAGACCAGCCACCATTCCCCTTCTATTCATTACCTTTCTTAAAAGTGCTTGTAATAAAATAAAGCTCTGGAAACGGAAAACTCATTAAACTGTTTCTTACTCAGGGACCCTGGTGGAAGCAAGAGCACAATAAAAGAAATCAATAAGGACAAGTCCATAGGACAGAGGTGGGAGCATTTCGTCACGGCGCCAAAGGTAACCAACCACAGGCGGGTCGACCGCCCAGCTCCCCGGCCCTAACGTGGGTTGAGGGGCATTTTCGTCCATCTTTCTTCTGATGGGAATTTTTTTTTTTTTCCTAGCTGGTTCTCAGAGTGAAGTCAGAACCACATGCTGTTGGATGGTTTTTGTAAATTTTAATTAAAATGGTTATCTGGGGATTAAAGGAGAAATGACATTTGGCTGGATGCTACCTGATGGGGAAGGGAGGAGGTGCTAAGCAGCTGATTAATAAGATGTCAGCAGAAGGAAATGGACTCACCTCACTCTGTATTTTAAATCAATAAGTAACAGTCATTTCTCTCTCTCTCCCTCTCTGTCTCTTTCTCTCTCTCTTTTTTTTGACTCAGTCAGAAAACAAGAAGTGAGTGATTCAGTAGACAGGATTTTCTACAAACTAGGACATATGTTTATTATTAAGAAGACGGCAAGACATAGATTCTTTTTACCCAAAGCTGTTCCTAACTTAGAACCTCCCCAGTTCATCCACTCAACAATCCCCGTAGTAATCATAAAGGCAAGAGATAACATTAAGATAGGGGAAGGTGGTTGAGCGAGCACATAACTAGTGTTTGCTGAACCTGTCCCCTTGCCCACAAAATGGATGTAATTCTCACATCTGCCTACCTCTCAACTTTAGTGAAGACCCTTAGGAAAAATTAGGCAAACTCATTTTGAAAATGTGAAAATGCTTAGCGCTATCGTGGTTGTATGATTTTTAGGGGCCACTTTTCAATGTAATTGCAACGGGCCACGTTCTGTGCTAAGAAAGCTCTTTTTAGGTACATTATACCCTCTTGATAACCCCGTGGGGCACTATTCTTATCCTCAGGTGGGAGAGGAGGAATTTGAAGCTCAGAGAGGTTAAGTGACTTGCATGAGGTTGTCTAGCTGGGTAATGGCAGAGACAGGAGTTAATTATGGGTCTATCTATTAAATACTGGGCTCTTCAAATGCCTGTTGTCCTTGATGTCATGGTTATAATTGCCCCACATGAAGAGTTTCACCATTTTCTTGCTCTTTCATCAGGGCACTCCTAGGCTTGAGAATTAAGAGCCTTTGTTTTTATTACAGAAAGTTGCTATGGAGATAGCATGTGTATCTGTCTCCAGAAATGCACCAACAAAGCAGCAGGAGCCACAAACCTTAAAAAAACAACAACAAAAAAGTCCTTCAGCAATATTCACCACTAAAATTGGAGGAGGGGAGAGTGAATTGCTATCCTTAGACTCTCACAAATTGAATTCCCTAGCAAGTTTGTGGGTCAAACCTGGACTGCAGCATGGTCCACTGCAGGGGTGAGGGATGCTAAATTAGGACTCAGGAGACCTGACCTCAGCCACAGTGACTCAGTTCACTTGGACAAGTCCTTTCTCCTCTCCTGATCTCAGTTTCTCTGCCCATAAAATAAGGACTTTGAAAGAGAGAATGTCACCAACTCTCACAATGCCTGATAGTCTTCCGTATGCATAGAGCTTGTCAGTCCCAAGGCAGTGTTCATAAGGGCCAGGTTAATTGTATTAATAAAAAAAAATCAGGATGGATGTACACACATTAGGGAGTGGTGAGGTCTGTGGCAAACTGGAACACTTCTGCACACCTAAGGGAAAGAAATCAGCTCTAGCTCATTTTGCATGTGAGAATGGGAACCCAGCACCTACCACTTTCAAGAGAAACCAAAAACCTTAGTTTTTTATTTAAAAATCTCCCAATTTGTAAAATCCTGGATAGCTAAACATGTCTCCCCATAGGCCACCAGTTTGCAACCCCTGCTTCATAAAAAGGGTAAGGAACCATTCAAGCAAATCTTTTCCTCTGTTGCCCAAAGTCAGCCTTTACTGAGACGGAAACCAGCAGCTGGTTAACACCACTCCTGAGTGAAATATAAAAAATAGGGATGCAGCATTTAGGGATTTAAGTCAATTCAGAGAGAGTCGGTTCAATAAAGGGCGAGCAAGATGCTGAAACTGCCTGTCACCTCTTCCCCCCACATTTTATTTTTCTGCCACTCTCAATTAATCAGAAGTGTCGGCCCTTCACTTTGGATTTCCTGGCTAGGGTGGTTAATTAAATTTTAATGAACGGCAACGTTAGGAGCATAAGCTGAAATGCTAGCTCAAGGAAGATGCACACAGAACTCTGGATATGAAAAGCTCTGCTGAGATCATCCCAGTCCATTCCTTTTGTTTTATAAATGAGGAAACTGAGGCAGGGCAGTATGAGCTGCCCCTGAGGTCCCTCTGGCTCTGACTCCTGTGCTCATTGAAAGACTCCAGGCTGCCCTCATGACACGATCTGTCCAGCCTTCAAAAATTACATCGATCTAAAGAGTCTCATTCCTGGAATCAGGAATTCATATTGTGCCAGATAAAACAGAAAGAAGCAACTTCTACACATATCATCCCTGACCCTAACGTCCTCTCTCCCCAGGGTGGCAGGGAGTAGAGGGGCTTTCTGTAAGGCTGGCAAGCTGTTGACCAGTGGCAACATCAGGACAAAGGAAGCATTGTTCTAAGCTCCTAATTTATCAAAGGTTGCCATCTTTTGGTATTTGCTTTTTCTTTATCACAGTAATTTTGTAAACTGCATGCCCCCATGCAGATCTGATTGAACTCAGTTCAAACTCCAATACCCCAGTCTATCACATTCTCAAGCATTCTGACATTTGTACAGAATTTCACTGAAGATTTAGGGGAGACAGGGGCAGGCACAAGGAGAGAGCTCGTCTTCAGCCCCACAACCTTCTTCCTGCCCTCTCCCCACCTTCTTCTTCCCCTGTGCAACCGAGAAATCCCTCCCCTCTTCCAATGCAGGAAAGTTCTACCCATATTCAGGGCCCCACAAGAAAGACAATCAAAATGCTACTTCTGATCACATACAGTGGACTTCCTAAAAAGAATCCTGCCAAATACAATTCTCTCCACCCTGTTCAATATGTATTAAATATTGGTGTGTCCTTCAGTGCTGCCTCTTCTCCCTATCTCCTTTCTTAGGATATCAAACACCATGAGTTTCATCTAAGGAAGACGTCAGTCTGCCCCTCAAGAGCTTTCATTTAAATATTCTCAAATAAAATTGTTTCTATTAATTGAGTATAAAATGTAGCCCAGCCTGTAATGAGCTCTTTCTCTGGAGCAGCTGAGGACCTGTTCTTCCCCACTGTAAACCTAGCATGTTAAATGCTGTAAAGAATCATGAGCATGAGATCCAGGGGTATTTTCAATGCCACCAAAAATGGCTTCTAAAGTATTTTTAAGTAAGGCATAGTAATTAGCTTTGGTGTTAGCCTGACCTGGGTTTGAATCCTGGCTCTGCTACTTGCTAGCTGTGTGATCTTGGGCAAGTTAGGAGGCCTCTCTGAAGTTTGGGTCATGAGTTTAAATGAGGACATAACTCCAAACAGTGCATTATGAAGTGACGCTGGTTTTGCAGGAAGGTAGACACACACACACACACACACACACACACACAAATACGCTCCTGTTCCCAACTCTTTCTAACTACTTTCCTTCCAAAAATCCACACTCCCTTCACAGGACTTTCTCTCCCTACCTTTTAATCTCATCTAAGACATGTCACCTCCTGGCCCACCACAACCATGACTCCTCCCTCTGTAAGAATGCCACCCCACCAGACAAATCTGCTTCCCCCCACTCCACCTCCTAAATTCAGGCCTAGAATTTTCTCGACCTTGAGTTCTTTAGAAAACCCTGGTGGATACAAATCTTCATTCTTTGAGGCCCAGGCATCAACTGGGTAAATAAGAAGTTGATGCATGCAGTTTGGGGCCCAAACCAAGATATAGCTAAAGAAATTAGACCCATCCTCTTCTACAGTTTTGAAATCAACTCTAATAGTGATTACAAAAGAAAAGTCGAAAACTATTCTTGGTCTTGGCAACATCATTGCAATACACATTTGGCCTCGTATGGTGACTACTTTGTCAACCAAGCACTCATGCAATAGAATAAGGTCTGTCACAATTGCTTCAAATAATACACATTGTGTGACAAAAGGTCACTCCAGATCCAGGGTATGTCTTGTGGTGTCTGGAAAGAATGAAAAGGAATTCACAGTCAGAGCCAGGTTTTTGCTTTTTTCTGCCCATCTGTCCTTCCTTCCTTCCCTCCTTCTTTCCTTCACTCCTTCTCTCCTTCCTTTCTTCCTTCCTTCCTTTCCCTTTCTCCCTCCCTCCCTCCTCCTTTCTTCCCTTCCTTTCTTCCATTCTTCTTTCCTCCCTTCTGAAACCCCTCTTTCTTCTCTCTTTCCTTTAGACCAAGAAATCAAAAATTCCTGTAAAGCAAGTCACCAGCCACAAGCCAAGCCAGCGTGGCTCCACGCTCAGTCTGACCCGGACCAGTGGGGGATCATCCCCCCAGGGTAGCATGATCTCTGTGAACCCTGGCTCAGATGAGCCCCAGAGTGTGATCACCCCGATGACTGGCAGCAAGGACATGGAGGACAATGAATCGTCTTCAACTAAGCCTGATGAAGAACCTCTCCATGTCTGTAAGTCCTGCCTGCAATCTGACCAATTGGCCCTGACTCTTTGCCTTCAGGCCAAACATCAAGAACCCCTCTGGCTCCATCTCCAGCTCTACTCCATTAAAGGAGACATAGGGGCCCCCTGGCTCTGTTCAATTTCCTTGCAATCCTTTGTTTTCCCCAGTGGAGATCAGAAATATGCTCTACGACTTGTGTTACTCTGAGCCATTTCTCCCAGGGAGACAGCCCATGGCCACCAATTGCCCTCTTTTAGTATTAAAAAATGTTCTTATTTAGCCCAATTTATACAGAACATTATCATTTCAGTACATAAGCAATATAAAAAATTATTAATGAGATATTTTTTTCACACTGTCTTTGAAATTCAGTGTCTATTTTTTTAACAGCTATATTGAGGTATAAGTCACATACCATAAAATTCACTCATTTTAAAGGTACAATTCAATGATTTTTAGTAAATTTACAGAGTTGTGTAACCATCACCACCATCTGATTTTAGAACATTTCTATCAAGCCAAAAGAAAATGTAGTGCCCTTCCCACCCAGAGCCCCCAGGCAACCACAAACCTACTTTCTGTCTCTATGGATTTGTCTTTTCTGAACATTCTATAGAAGGAAGTTGTATCACTCTGTGATCAACACTCTGGAATAAGCCTTTTCAGTGGTTCATAATTTGGGGGACACAAATCTTTTAGAAAATCTGTTGAAAACTATTTTGAAAACTCGCCCAAGGAAAAAAATCCAAATACACATATATACAAGTTTGCATACTATCTGGGAGTGGGGAGGCTGTGGACCTGAACCACGCAGAATGGTGACTGGATTCCATAAGTCATGTGAAAAATTTATTCTCAGAACTTTCTGGCTGGAGCTTGTATAGTAGAATGAGATAGGAAAAGAAAGAGAAGGATTCCTAAGGATTCATATGGAAGATGAAGAAGGCAGAAAGAAGAGGGAGAAAGGCAGGGACAGGAAGGATGTGAAATGCCCTTTTACCCCGACCCTACATTTTGGTAGACTCTAATTCAACCTTAAAGACTCAGCTCAAATGTTCCTTCCTCTGTGAAGCCTTCCCTGACTCCCCCAGGTTCCCTCCTCTCAAGTATCTTAGTACATTGTATTTGCTTTTATAGAGTTCTTAATTTTAATTTGCAACAGCATTTCACTGTATTCAACAGGAACTTCTTTTGGCTGAGTACAGAGACCTAAAAAATAGTGACTTTAAAAAGATAAAAGTTTATTTTTTGTGCAGACGAAAGAAGACAAGTTGAGAGCTGATGAGGTGGCTCCAAAAGATCATCAGGGATTCTGCTTCCTTCTCTTTCTTCTCTGCCACCTTCAGCATCACTTCATGATCCAAAATGGCTGCTGGAATTCCAGCCATCACACCCACATTGTAGGCTGGGAGAAAAAGGAAGTAGACAGAGTACAGAAGTGCCAGTGCCAATTTCCAGCTAAGGTTTAAGCAGCCTTCTCAGAAGTGCCGTACTATTCTACTAAAATCTCATTGCCTGGAACTTAGTCACAGGATCACATGAGCTAGTAAATGTTTCCCCTCACACACACAGAAAGAATTGTAGTTCTATTACTAAGGAAGAAGGGAAAAAGGAACATGAGCTCCCTGCAAGGGTGGAACAATAAAGTCTTATGTACCGTCAGCCTGGCACACAGTAGGTACACAAAATGGCATTTCCACTGGAGACGTACCCCTGGGAGGGAAAGTTCTCCCTTCAGCCTCGCCACCCTTTTCCTCCGTTTATACCTTAACCTCCATCCCAGTTGTCACAGCCTTGACAAAAGTAGATTAATTCCCCAGGCCTCTCATCGCCTTCTAAAACCGCCTCAAATTGATTCTGAATTCATGAATCCTATTCTGAGAGACTTGCCATTTGACCAAGGTCTAATTTCCAGGGCTGGCTGCATAATGGAGTCTTTGTGGATGCAAACACTGGTGGCCTTTCCATGGAATGATCCCCTCCCCAAATCAATGGCGGGAATATTCCCAAGAAACCAAAGCCCAGGCTATTCCTTCTGCTGGCCTTGAAGTTCTAAGTCTTAAAACTATTAAGAGAGACTCACTGAAATAGCAACTCAAAATATGGGTCATCTAATGTTCCCCCTCAAACCAACCCCATACAACAAAAAGACCTCCTCTATTTTTCCCCCAAAAGAAGAAGAAATGAGCTTAGTCATTCAAGGATGAGATTCTTAGACAGCCTGGGGATGAAAGATGAAGAAAGGAAGACAGAATTTTTTCTCTGGGGATGTGATTTGGCATTTGAGAACACAGGATGCCACTGTCTCTGAGCCAGGGATAATGATATCCCCACAGCCTGGGAACTGAGAAATGGGCAGGTTGCTCTGCATGTGGACATACGTCACAGGACTGTGTTGCTCAGACAGTAGCATCTGTACCCTTTCCAAACAAGTCTTTTTGTTCAGGTAATCTTGAGAAGTCCCAAGGCTTTGTTCTATTTCACACATACCCAACCTCAGTTACATGATGGATGGACCTTCATATTGGTGGGCACATTCCTTCCCAGAGGCATTTGGCAAGCAGAAAAAAAATGTGGTGCATTAAGTGAGGATGGAGAGTTATATATGATTCTTTAAGAGGGCTGCCTAATGCACCAGGTCACTGGGGTCATTTGCTGGTATCTACCCACCCCAGGCTGATTTGCTTTTGGGTGGGAGCAGGGGTAGGGGAGCAGTCAGAGGTTGCTGCTTGGTTCCAGAAGGGAAGAAAGTAGAAGAACCAATCACAGCTCCCTCAGTAATAGGCTTTTGGACACACCCCAAGGATTCTGGGATGTGTGGCTTGTATGGGCAGGTGGACATGACAAGACAAAAATGAAGGTCAGGTTCAGGTCAAATGGAATCATGTACGCAAATTGCTAGCAAGATAAACTACTTGAGAATAAGGAAGTGGAGTGGAAACTGGCTTAATGTTGACATTTATCACAGCCTAGATTGCTCCAAAGTCATTAAGGAAAGGCACTCTTTCCCCAGCACCTAGTGATTGCATTCATAAACAAGGCTGGACACAATTGGTCTTGGGCAGCACAGGGATTCTGGCCTGCCTTCCAGATGTAGCTTTTGAGATGAGCTCAAGCCGACTACAGGCACCTGTAGGGGTGAAGTGTCTGCACTGGCATTGTCACCCTTCATTGGTACCCAAACCTAGTTCATAGTCTCCCAAATCCTTCCTTCATTTCTCTCCTTGGTTGTTCACTTATTCATTCAGCAACTATTGACTGAGACTCCATGTGCTAAGCATGGTGCCAGGTGCTATTAATAGAAAGATAAGATGTGGCTCCTGACCTCAAGGAACTCAAGGTCAAGAGAGGAAGACCCACAAGGGAACAGGCAGTTGCCATCCCATGAAATCAGTGCTGTGATGGAAGTCAGGAGGAGAGTGTGCTGCAGGAGTCCCCAGGTAGGCACCTTTCCAGGTGTGGTGGATGAGGAAGGGAAGAGAACATGCTTCCAGAATCTCAGAGGAAGGAAGAATATGTGATAATCTGTCAAAAGTACATGAAACCAACATCAGCCACTCTACCATCTGTTCTGAGACAGTGCAAACACCACCAATATTTTCCATCGACATAGAAAATAAAAATCAAAAATTAGTTTTACTCAATGGAGGCAGCCATATAGCATGTTTGTTCATTTGGGGATGCAAACAGATTGTGCTGCTAAGGATGCATTTTTAAAGCTCTCCCTTCAGTTGCTCAAGTTCCAGTAATCACCCACTATAGTTCTCTTCTTGGGTCCTGAAATTATGTGAAAGCCATCGGAAAGTCTCCCCTTTATTATTTCTTGGAATGTCTCTGACCCTCCAATGGCTCTCTGTGTATTTCCTCCTCTTCTTACTCCAAGCCCCTTCTTCTCTCTTCTTGTTCATAAATCTGAGAAGAAATTCCAGAGGAGTCACAGTCACCAACTAACAACTTCACGCTGTGATGTTTCAGCACCATGGACAGCTACATGCTCCAGGGAAAGGACGTTCCAAAACCCATGGTGTTGTATCAAACAGATTCTACAGGAGTGAGGTGGGCAGGGCTTTGCAAATCTTTATCCACATAAAACAGGAACATTCACGACCGCTCTTCCACTTTTCTTGACACACATAGCTTACACCATCTGTGTTTCATTTTCCAACTTTTGAGAGTGTCAGTGTATTGGTTTCCTAGGGCTGCCATAACGGAGTGGCTAAAACAACAGAAATGTATTGTCTCACAGTTCTGGATGCTAGACATCCAAAATCAACGCGTCGGTAGGGCTGTGCTTCTTCTGAAATCCACAGGGGAGAATCTTTCCTTGCCTTTTCTGGTGGTTGCTAGCAATCCTCGGCATTTCTTGGCTTGTGGATGCATCACTCCAATCTCTGCCTCTATCACCACATGGCCATCTTCTCCTTGTGTGTCTCTCTCCTCTTATAAGGTCACCAGTCATATTGCATCGAGGGCCCACCCTACTCCAGTGTGAACTCAGTCATGTGCCGTAACAATGAACCACAGATACCACAATGGTCCTTTAAGATTACAATGAAGCTGAAAAATTCCTATCACTTAATGATGTTGTAGCCATTGTAACACTGTGCAATTCATTACTCACATGTTTGTGGTGAAGCTGGTGTAAACAACCTACTGAATTGTCAGTCATATAAAAGTGTAGCGCATACCATTACATACAGTACATAATACTGTACTTGATAATGATAATAAACGACTATATTACTGGTTTATGTATTTGCTACACTATATCTTTTATCATTATTTTAAAGTGTACTCCTTCCACTTATATAAAAAATACAATTAACTGTAAAACAGCATCAGGAAGGTCCTTCAAGACATATTGCAGAGGAAGGCATTGTTACCATAGAAGGTGACAGCTTTATGCTTGTTGTTGCCCCTGAAGATCCTCCAGGGGGGCAAGTTGTGGAGGTAAAAGACAGAGATATTGATGATCCTGTCTCTGTGTAGGCCTAAGCTAATGTGTGTGTTTGTGACTTAGTTTTTAAAAAAAGCTTAAAAAGTAAAAAAAAAAAAAAAATTAAATAGAAAAATCATACAGGATAAAGATATAAAGAAAATATGTTTGTACAGTTGTACAATGTACTTGTGTTCTAAGCTAAGCATTATCACAAAAGAATTAAAAAGTTAAAAATTCAAAAGTTTATAGAGAAAAAAGTTACAGTAAGATAAAGCTAATTTTATTAAAGGAATAAATGTTCTATAAATGTAGTGTAGCCTAACTGTACAGTGTAATAAAGTCTACAGCAATGTACAGTAATGCCCTAGGCCTTCACACTCACTCACCACTCACTCACTGACTCACCCAGAGCAACTTCCGGTCCTGCAAGCTCCATTCATGGTAAGTGCCCTATACAGGTGTGCCATTTTTATCTCTTGCATTATGTTTTCACTGTACCTTTTCTATGTTTCAATATGTTTGGGTACACAAATACTCACCATTATGTTTCTAGTACTACAGTATTAAGTACAGTAACACGCTGGCTGGTAGCCTAGGAATAATAAGCTGTACCATACAGCTTAGATGTGTAGGAGGCCGTACCCTCTAGGTTTGTGTAACTACCTCTAGGATGTTCTCACAACAACAGAATCACCTAGTCATACATTTCACGTAACTTATCCCCATCGTTAAGGAATGCATGACTGTAATTACATCTGTAGCAACCCTATTTCCAAATAAGGTCACATATTGAGGTACTGAGGATTGCAACTTCAACGTATCTTTTGGAGGGGGCACAATTCAATCCATAACTCAGGTATGAAGAAATATGTCTACACTATATAAAAATCAACAATATTAAATATGAAAATAAAAGTTAGCTGGTGCAATGAGGGGTGGTGGGAGGTAGGGGGAGCTAGAGAGCACATGTCTGTCTAAAGGTGCATCCAAATGCCCCATGAATAAGGGCAACACAGTCTCATCTCAAACTCCTTTCTAGGCAAGCTGGAGGTCTGGATTCTTATGTGAAACTTTCCAGTTTTAAAAAGTTGGCATCCACATCAAATCAAATCAAATTGCCTGTTTGGAAATTCCAGCCTATGGAGATCAGAGAGGATTTCCTGAACAAAATCATTTCTTCTAGGAAGTGGTAACAGTTCTCTCCGGCTGCGGTACAGTTTAAGGTGGGGGAAGGGAAGGGAGATGAAACAATAGATAAAAAGGGCAGCCAGATCCTGGAAGGCCTCCTAGGCCATGTGGAGGAATTTAGATGTCATCGAAAGAAAAATGAGAGTCATGGATGGGGTTTTAAGCAGAGAAGTAGCATCGTCAGATTTACAGCCTGCTACACACTATGAGCTGCCTCTCCAGATCCCCCACACTCAGAGGCAGAGGTGATCCCAGCTTGGAGGCTGGGCCTTGCCCTGCACAACCCTGTCTCAAGTGTGCCCTCTGGTCAAGGGTGACCTCTCATATTCCCATCAGATCTGCAGAAGTTCCGGGAGCTCGTTTGGGAAGATGCCCGGAGGACAATCATGCTAGAAACTGGAATGCAAAAAAAAGCACCCAGGTACGTTTTCTTTACTCCTGTGGCAAATAATGGATATCAGAATAATTGTGATAATATTAACAATAGCAGTAGCCAATTATTGAGCATTTCCTTTGTGACAAGCACTGAGCCATGTACTTTGTTCATGTATGTCACCTGCCTGAGTTCTTACAATAACCCCAAGAGGTAGATCCTGACATCTTTATTTTACAAATAACAAAATGAGGCTCAAGAGGCCATGTGACTTGTTCAAGGTCACTCAGCTAGTGGACGGTAAGGCCACTACTCGAATCCAGATCTTTCCAATTCCAAAAACCATTCTCTCCACCACTGTGCCACATTGCCTCTCAGGAGCCCTACAGTTATTCATTCATTCTTTTAGTGAATAATTATGAATTTGTATGGGGAGAAGTGAGAAATGTCATGAAAAGAAACTGAGAACTATGAGAACAAATAATAAAGGGTATTCGTCTTAGTCTGGGATGGGACTGAGGATCAGAGAAGTTTCCTCCAAGGAAGAAACTTTAAGCTGAGATTTGGATAAGGCATGCAAATGAGGCAGCCTAACAAAGTTTAGGGGAAGGAGGGCGGGAAGGCGGGAGGCGATGGGGAGAGTGTTACAGGCAGCACATGCGCAAAGGTGGTCAAAGGGACCCTGACACCTCCCAGGAACTGAAATGTAGCCAAAGTGGGATGAAGCTCAAGGATTCTCGCTGTTATCCTAAGGGCAACAGGAATCCTTTGAAGTTTCAAGCCGAAAATCAATGGGATTGGCTCCTAAGGAGGTGGTGTCATACTTGAACCTGAGCTGCCCTCCTCCTGGCGGAAAGCCTCATCCACCAGACCTCTGACCTCTGAAAGCCCCAGAGAGCAGGCGGCCTAGAGCCAGAGTTCCCTTCCCAAGCGTAGGTCCCTCTGAGTAAGCAAATTACTGGCTGGAAATAAATGAGGCACTAGAAGAAGTTCATCATTGCCTTTAGCCTACTGGGCTGCCGACTATAACTTATTAGTTACTGTTATTGCCGTAATTACAGTTCCACAGGCGTCACACGTCGCCTCTGCTTGTGGATGATGAATTTGTCTGCTGCCACCTCAACTCTCATAGGGGCGGCTCCAGAAGGTGGCACATGGAGGCACTCGGGGACAATGTTGGGCCCTAAGGCCCCTGCTACTGTGCCAGATTTGTAAGCATGAGAGACAGACAATGATGACACATCAGCTCGATGAGGCTCCTTCCTCTGTAAGAACTCACAGCATAAGCACTGGCTTTGGAGTTCAGACTGGCCTGAGTCCAAAACCTAGTGCTGTTGCACAAGTCACTTAGCCTTTCTCTAAACCTATTTTCTTGTCTGTAAAATGAGATCATGTAGCATCAAAGCACTGGCTTTGGAACCAAACAGGCTAGGATCAATCTCCATTCCCCTGGTTAATTGCTGTGTGATGTTGGGCAAGTTGCTTCACCTCTCTGAGTCTGATTCCAATTCTGGAAAATAAGGTTCATTATCAACCTGTCCCAAAGGGTTGCAGTGAAAATTAAATGACGCTATCCTCATAAAGTATTACTCATGTTATGGAAATAACATCTACTTCAATGAGTCACCTTAAGCGTTTAGCTAGATAATGCATTTATTTAACATATTAGCATGTGCCTGGCATACGGTAAGCAGACAGTAAATGGCATGAGGGTGGTGGGCAGGAGGGTCGTTCCTTTTATTTCACACATAGCACCCCATGGAATCTTCGCAGCACCTTGCTGAGACAGGTACGTTCACCGTGACCATCACCCCACCTCGTAGACAGCAAAGAGCAGCAAGGAGTGACTTCCACAAGGTCTTCAAAGACAGAACTGCACTAGAACCTGGTTCTCACGAGACCCATCATGGCCTTGGCATTCACTTTCATGTTAAAATAACCATGGTTACAGAGCAAGAACCTGTTGAAATTTCCCTTTCTCATTAAGTCCTCTGGGAGAAAAATCTCCCTAATCTCTCACTAAGGCAGCAGATATTGAAGCTTCGCTGCGGAGCTGCCGAGAGACAGTTAGGAAAAGCTGCAGATCCTCTTTTGCTCCCTCACTTTAAAATCTGGATTCCTTTCTCACTTTAGATCCCAAATCTGCTTCCATCAAGGCTGACATTGAAATCTGGGGTTTTAGGAACCCCTCCAAGCCAGCCCATCCAGCCCCTGGCCTCAAGGTCAGACTGCCACCCAGTCATCTGAAAAGATGGACTTTTCTTAAAATCCTCTAGCAGGATCCCTAAAGATCAGATGCAGCTTAGGGTACTTATAAAAAATACGAATTTCTAGATCTCATTCCAGACCCACTAAATCAGTATCTCCAGAGGCAGACGTATTTTTTAACAAGAACTTCAAGTGGGCATTTATTTCACAGTATGCTAGGAAATTCCAGGGGTGTGTGTGTGTGTGTGGTTTTAAATGCAGACCTAGTGAATTAAAAGTCTCTGGGAACATGGCCCAGGAAGCTGTATTCTTAGCAAACTCTCCAGGTGATTCATATGCCCTGCCCGGTAGAGTCTGAAATCCCTGCTCTAGAAAGAGAATCCTCCATCCCCCCACAGAAATTTACTGCTATGAGAGCATCATGTATTCAGTGCCTTGTTTAAAAGCTCATCTTGTTTTGCAGCATCTTGCCAGTGCTCAAACAAAACAAGAGCAATTCTGCCTACAAGGACATGCAGACCATCCACGAATCAAGGTAGGAAGCCTGAAGCCTGCAGCAGGTGGCTCGGGAGACAGCCCACAGTTACAGGGGCCACTGCAGAGATGCTGCTTGCCAGACCACGGAATGTGGGGCAGGGAGGGGGGCCGTTTTCCTTCTTATGACCTCACTGGAAACAGGCCCCTTCACCCCAGGGCCGGGAGTGAGCATCCACACATTTCTGCCCAACAGTTACATGCCATAAAGATAAAGTCTTCTAGTGGTGAAGAGGTGAGGTAGGGAGGATGTGGTATAGGACTATTCCTCCCCCTTTCCTTGGGTAATGTATAATGGGAGCGGTGGAGGTCTTCCTCCAATTCATTTATTCATTTAGAGAATATTCTTAGATTCCCCCTCTGTGTGCTATGTTTGGGGGATTCAGCAGCAAACAAAACAAACATAATCTGTCCTCATGGATTTCAGTGTCTGGGCCAGGGGTATAACCTTTTCTGTGCCACGAACCCTTCTGGCAATCTGAGAAAGCCTATGGACTCCTTTTAGAAAAATGTTTTTAAATGCATACCGTAAATTACAAAAGATTACTAAGAAATTTGTAGTAACACAGATTGCTATATTACAATCAAATTTGGAACACAGTAATCTATGAGCTTCTTTGGCAATGCATTATAACAGCAAAATTTAACAGCAGGTCTAATAACTACTATAATTTTGGATCAGGGTTGAATATAAATGATTTTTCAAAATATCTTCCAAAGTAGTAATGTGATATGCAAATATCGGTGATTTTCATTTTGGTTAAAGGCTGGTTAAAACAAAGATGCAAACGTTTTTCCCATTTGCATTCATGGACCCTTTGAATTCTACCCATGCTTAAGAATCGCTAGTCTAATGGGGCAGTCAAGCATTTTTCAAATAATCCCACAGTTAGCCATAAAATCAGGATTGTGGAGTGTTCTGAAGGAGAAGTGGGGAGGGTTGGGTGAGCTTTTAGCACCAGGGTTCTCACCAACAGTGAGTTTGACATTTAAGCTGAGACCTGAAGAACAAAAAAGAATTGACTAGCTTATGAGGTGGAAAAGGTGGGAATTCCCAGCAGAGGGGATAGCATGTGTGAAGGGCCCAAGACAGGAGGAAGCTTAGACCAGTTTGGCTGAAACTCAAGGAGAGCCAAGGTAGGGAAGCGTGAGATGGGCAGAAGGGTCATTGTTGTTATTTATTTCTGTTTACAACCAACTAATAACACCACTTCCCCTTACCTCCCACCTCCTCCCTGAGTTACTCCCAAGCTCAAAGCTCTTGAAAAGGAGAGAGCCATCCACAGGGAAAATGTCAGGACCACCATGGTCCCCCAAAGGGGGCTGGGGCAGCTGGCTGGAATCCAGAAACAGGCCATATTATTAATGGGGCCCTGCATCCCAGCCAGGAGGGATAAGGGTTTCCCCCACCACCTACCAGGCTTGAGACCTCAGGGTCTAGTCCTGTGAGCTTCAGGTTCAGGGGAAAGCAGCAAAGGCAAGGACCTTTCTATAGGGAGGGCCTGGGAAATGGCCGGCCCTGCCAACATAAGGAAGCCCCAAATGCCACAGGGCCAGAAGGGAAGGGTTAGCCACACACCATAGGAATAAGGAAAACAGTCTTACCCCCTGAGCCACACAGATGAATGGTCAAGTCAGTTTTCCAAGCATTTGGAAGACACAAGGGGAGGCAGGGCAGAGAGAAGGTGCTGTCCAGTGGTGCTGAAGGCCCAGGTCACGGAACGAGGGCCTGGGAGAAAGGCACAGGGAGGGGAGCGGGGGCCCTCATCCCTCTGGGAACCCTGCACAGGCAGAGTCACAGGAGGGAGCAGCCACACAAGGGATTGAATCATCCACACCTAGAAAGGCTCAAATCGTGTGATGAGTTGACGGGTCACAGATGAGGAAACTGACAACCCAGAGGGGGAGTTGCAGGCCCACAGACTGGGAGGTGGTACCGCCGGGTTGGGCTCTGAACCCAGCTCTGTCTGCGTCCAAAATAGAGTGGGATGTTCGGCTCAAGGGCCCAGCTTAGAGAAGGAAATCCTTGGATGAAGAGGCAGTCTGAGGTGGAGGACACCAAAGACAACGCGGCTAGGAGGACTCAGCCACCCCTTCACTAAATCTGCACTGTTGTTGAGTGTGGATAAGAGGGTGGAAGGGTCCAAAATGAACTCACCCTCCATACAGGGGGACCAGTTTTATACAAATGAACCTGAGACCCAGAAAAATCCATAATCCTAGCAATACACGGAGGCAGGTCAAAGTGGAATTGGAGAATCCGGGCATGCAGGACTTGCTGTAAACCATAAAAAAGGGTTGGAGGTGAGTAGGCAGTAAAGAAACTAGGGGGACCCTCCAGGCAAGGGGTATGACAGGAACAAAAACCAAGAGGTGGGAAAACAGACACTAAATTCGATGACCGGTGCCTTGATTAGAACCACCTCCCTTCCCCGAATCCTGGAGGCTGGCAGGTGTCATGGGGGCCCTGGAGGCACCTTTTTCTTGCAAGGCAGACTCTGAGCAACTTGAAACCATCCCTGTGTGCTTCAGTGACAGATCCAGCAGTACAAGTGGAGAAAGCCACACCCAGACAGTCCAGAAGAAGTCAAAAAAGTGAGCCAGGAGGGTGGGCAGTGGAAGGAGCCGGGCAAGAGGGACTATGGTGACCACAACCTCTATCCCCCCAGGGGTGTGGAAATGACCCAGTGAGTACCAGATTGCCCGAGACCATAGACAGTGCGAAGGACAAGGGGTCCCCCAGGCAGTGGGCTTATAGCCAAGATGCTGGGCAACAATGCAGACAATGGCAGAAATTCCTCCTCTGTGCCAGGCACCATGAGGAGAATCCTGTATTCATTACCTTGCTCATTCCTCAAAACCAATCCCATTTTACAAAGGAGCAAGTGGAAACTTGCCCTAATGAAATGCCTTGCCTGAGGCCACACAGCTAAAAACGTGGTAGAGCAGGATTTTGAGCCTGAATCTCCCAGCTCCAAGTTCCATCTCCATGTCCTTAACATTTTCTGGGCTCAGGTGACCAGCTGTCTCACTGTGGGCTCATTTAATAAGGCCCAAGCCTCCATCCTGATGCTGTTGGAGAGATCTGTCCTTCCTACTTCCAGGAGGATGCTGAGGGAGGACCCAGGTGAGGACAGGGATCCCCACTGCAGAGCACTCGGAGGCCCCAGAAGCCAGAGTGGGACCCATGAGGTTACTGGGGCTCTACCCCTGTGCCCCCACAAGCCCTTCTTCTCTGTGTCTACAGCCGCAATAATCGAGACATCATCCTCTCCAAGAGTGGACTGTGTAACACCATGAGGGCTGAGTTTTACAGCGTGGCCCAGGAGGCTGGCTTCTGCCTGCAGGACAAGCTGGAAATCCTCATGAAGTAAGGGCACATGTAAATCCATTCACTCAAAGGGCATCTACCTGGCGCCTACTATGTGCCCACCAGGTGCCAGGTGCTGGGGCTATAGCAAGGACAAGAAGGACTTGTTCGCTGTCCTCTTGGGGATTACAGTCTTCAGTAAACAAAATAAGTACACCTGTAAATATATAGGTACAAATTATAGGCATTGCCATACAGGAAGAGAACAGGGTGGTATGAGGGAGGGGGGTGGTAGGGACAGAGAGAGAGAGAGAGAGAGAGAGAGAGAGAGAAACCATTGGGACCTAATGTAGGTTGTGTAATCTGGAAAGACCTCTCTGAGGACGTGACTTTTGGATGAGTCCTGAAGGATGAGGAGCTGGCCCTGTGATGAGCAGGCGGAATGACATTCCAGGCAGCAGGAAACGTACATGGCAAGTCCCAAGGCAAGAAGGGACATGGAGAATTTGAAGAGAAGGGACAAGTGATAGGCAAGACCTGCATCATGCACAGCCATGAATGCCACAATTAGAACGTGGAACTTGGTTTCAAGAGTGCCAGAAGGCCACCAGAAGCTGTCTTTTTCTTGTAAAGCAACCCAATAACTGCTCCCTTTCTAGCCTATGCCTTGACTACGGTGACCTTCTGCCCCAGTGAACTCATCCATGCAACAAAGTTTGCATCATGAGCCTTTGCATCTTCATCCTTACAGCGTTGATGGACAGGCTGCTCTGGGCCAGGGGTTTGGAGAAGACTAGCCCCTGCCCCTTCGGGAGCTCCCAGTCTAGTGGGGGACACAGACAAGTAAACAGGCAGTTACCACACAGGGTGATGAGCATCAGCATGTGAGAAAGCAGAGGCTAAGGGAACACGAAAGGGATGCCCCACCTGGCCTGGGACAGCCCTCAGAAAGGTCTTCCTGGAGAGGAGAAATTTTCAGTTTAGCAAACACAGATGGATATTTCCAGGGTGCTTACTATGCACCAGTCATGGGTGTAAGAGCTTTGCATTAATGTATCATTTACTCTTCATAACAATCCTATGGGGTAGGTGTTATTGTTAGACCCATTTTACAGATTATAAAAGTGAATGGCTCTTGTCGAAGGGCTAAGTAGTAAAGGTAGAATTCAAACCCAAATGATTATGCCAGAAAAGTAGGAGGGAAGAGCAACAGCAAAGCCCCAGAGGCCAGAAGGGGCACAGTGAACTAGGGAACTGCCAGTAGTCAGGTGTGGTTGGGACTTAGGGTGCCTGCAAGGTGATCAACGAGCTAGGCAGAGGCCAGATCATGAAAGGCCTTACTGGCTGAGCTGTGGATGTTGACCTTTATCTTGGAGACTTTGATCATGAGCCAGAGCACAAAATTCCAAGAGAGAAGGGATGGGAAGGACGGAAACGAAGCTGGGAAATGTTGTACGAATTGAATAATCCAGGCGCTTGGAGAGCAAGTTACTCAGAGGAGTTTATTCTGCGTAAGGTGGAAAGCCACTGAAAGTTGTATACGGGGGAGTGATACGGTGACATTCATAACACAAAGTCTCCTTGGAGAGAGAGGAGAGAGGAGATATGTACAAACTGATAAGGAGAAGAGAGGAACCAATATGAGTTAAACACCCACTGTAGGTCTGGTACGAAGCTTGGCACTTCACACACATTATATAATTTAATCCTCACCTCTGAGATGTAGGAGCCATTATTATCCCCCAGTTTACAGATGGGGAAGCTGTGTAAATACAATCAGAAGTAGGAAGAGAACGAAGGCTAATAAAAAGTGACTAGTTAGCAAGGAAGTAGTGCTTCAGGACCTTGGAGAGAGCTGTATCTGCTTGTGGTAGAAGCCAGGTCCTAAGCGAAAGAGTAGCTAGGAGGATAAACAAGAGCCTCCCGGAGGAAGAGGTGTTTAAGTCAGACCTCAAAGGGCAGCTGTGATGATGAAAGGAGCAGGGATCTGATTCTTCTCCCCCTTTCTCGTACAACCTCGTAGGCGCCAAGAAGAAAGGGGTCTCCAGAAGTTCCGCTCTTTTGTCCCTGTTTCAAATTTTCGAAAGGATGTAGCAAAAATGAGACGTCAAGTATCTGTAGTAAAAAGAGATGCAGAAGAAATTGCAGACCACTGGTAAGGAGCCTGAGAACCCGACAAGATGGTCCCTGAAAGGGGGGAGAGGAGGTGTTGTTACAAGATCACAATCGAATACCTTGTCCTTCAAGGGAGAGAGAGGCATCACCCAAAACTGACATTGGCCACCAACAGAGTCCCCCCAAACATGCTACATCCAGAGCACAGTTAGGCCAAAACCCCCCAGTTTCTGAACCACAGATAATCCAACCCGTTGTGTCCTCCGTATTTACCTTCTGTTTGGTTCAGACTTGGAAGTAAGGACTGCCTTGCCAGCCCCTATGGGAGAGGCAGGTGAGGCAAATATGGACATTTCTACAGATTCTGAAGTCTTTGGGGGTGATCACTACATTCTTCCCAAATAATTAATCCCTTAAGGATACAAAACCAGGCAGGCATATCCTAGGAACACTGTGTCCCAGCACAGGGGTGATAATAAGTAACAATAAAGTCTAACATAGAGAGCCCAAATAGCTCAGTTGGTAGAGCATCAGACTTTTAATCTGAGGGTCCAGGGTTCAAGTCCCTGTTTGGGCATCTGGTTCAAATGGTGCAAAGGCAATTTATGTGATTGAAGTGTTTGTACTCCTATAATATTATTGAAAAAATAAATGTAAGTTAAATTTTAAAAAAGAATAAAAGCTGCCTTCCAAATTAAAAAAAAAAACAAAAACATGAATTGAGTGACTACTGAATGGCACACACTGCCTAAGCAATTTTGTTGAATTATCTATTCTATCCCTACCAAAAAAAAAAAAATCCTGAAAGGTATAAATTAACCACCATTTCACAAACAAGGAAACTGAGACTCAGAGAGGTAAATTCAGTTGTCCAAAGTCACACCACCAGTAAGTGGTGAATTTAGGATGTAAACGCCTGTCCATCCTCAGCGTCCACACTCACTCGCAATATGCAATTGGAGTCTGATGAACTTCGATGTCACAAGCCCCATCCTGGCAGGATAAATACATCCGGATCTAAGAGTACAACGAGAGGGTCTAGAAATGTACCTGGAATCCCTTCATGATTTCAATAATGTGGAACAGGAGCCTAGAAGCAGGTCCCTGGGGTCACATCCAAGTTATGGGAACTTGCACACCACCTCGCATTTTCAGAGCATCACTTGCTCACAGGCAACATCTGGCCCTGAAGATACAGGGGGCTCTCAAGAGGGGACCTCACGAAAGGCAGAAAAGCATCTTCTGCAAGCCCTCTCCCTCTTTGGGAAGGAAGTGGGCAGAAGGAGAAAGGGAGTTACAAGCTAACTGACATGAAGTTGTCAGAAATTAATGCTGGTCCTCCTTCAGTGGGACTCAGCCCACATCTCTAATGGTGGAGTTTCTGGCATTATTATAGGGGAAGTAATTGCCCTCCATGGTAACATAGGTAGCATTAAAATCAAGTCAAATCAACCACAGCCTACACGGATGATGCTGAGTTGTAGCTCCTCCTTCCTCCAGTCATTAGGTCTTTCAAATCATAGTTACCGAGCACCTGCCAGGAGTTGGGTAGAGTTCTAACACGCTGAATACTCAACTACTCAGACAGGGTTGCTATTCTCGAGATTTCATTCTAAACGAGGAGATATGAATAAATATATATCATAAAATATAAAGCAGTATAAGTAGCCCAAAATGTGTGATGGATGACCAATTTCTTCTTCGAAATTTTCCACAATAGTCACATATATAGCAGGGGGAAATTTTTTTTAAGAGATGCCACCTCCTGCCTTAAGTCCCAATCGTATCTGAACCATCCCCTTAGGTTAGACCAAGGTAGGTTAGAATCTACCTGTTCCCACCATGTCAAGGGTGGATTCCCCACTATCCTTGTGCTCTGTCATAACACTGAAACACAAAGCTTTGACCTGAGCTTACGCGTTAATCAGGGAGCTGGAAAACACACACACACACACACACACACACACACACACACACACACACACACACTATCTTGTGTGTGAGAGCCTCCTGCATCCTAGAAGTCATCCCATGGATGTGTCCGTGTGCCCCCCTCCTTCAGCCTGATTAACTCTCAGAAAAGAAGCTTCAGAACCCCAAAGTCCTCTCCTTTCGTTTAGCCTTTCACATGGTCTGCTTGATAGAAAAATCATAAACGCATCCCTTGAAAGAGTGCTCTTATTTTTTTTAAAGAAATGCAAAGTCATGCTCCTTCTTTTCCTGCCCCTAACAGTAAAGACTGGCCTGACATGTGGGCCACAGAGGAAAGCCCCCAGATAAAGAATTCTGCTGCCCTGGAGACATCACATGAGTGGCAGAAAGAGAAAGTGGAGATGGGCAGCCAGAGGGGCCCAGACCCCCTTCCCAACAGCCTCCTAACCGGCTCTCTCCTCTTGGGATTGAAGGTACTTTGATCTGCTGTCCAAACTGCCGGAGGATCTAAAGAGCTTCCGCCCCTCCAAAAAGATCCTGGTGAAACTGCAGAAGTTTGGGGAAAACCTGGACCTAAGGATCCGACCCCACGTCTTCCTGAAGGTGCTACAGGATCTGAGGGTCTGGGAGCTCTGTTCCCCTGACGTCGCTGCGGCCATCGAGGTAACCACCGCCTCCTTGCCCCTCACAATGCCTTGGGTGCCCTCGTTCAGTCTTCTCTCAACATCCAGGCACTGTTTTAAGTGCTGGGGACACAGTGATGAAAAGACACAAAGGCCCCTGCCTTCGTGGCACTCATAATCTCATAGGAAAGGAATTGTCACATCACTGTGTTGTTCAACTCCAAGGCATCATATATTCTATGTAAATGGTGCTCCCCGGAAACTGAGAGGCTTTGGGGAGACATAAATAAACGGGTGATCTTAATAAGGACACTTTAAATCTTGCTACTAAAAACGCAGTTGATGAACAGCAGCACGGACCTCACCTGGGTGTTTGCTAGAAATACAGGATCTCTGGCTTCCAACCATATCCACCAACTCCGAATTTACATTTTAATGGGGTCCCAGGTGTTTTGTATGCACAATAAAGTTTGAGGAGAGCTGGTTTAAAGTAAATTAGAGGGGACGTATTATACCTCGACTAGAGCAACTGCAAAAGGTGACATTTGAGCTGAGACCTGAACGATGACGGGACAGCGCCATGAAGAGAAAGGGCAGAGAACGTGCAAAGGCACATTCCCAAAGTCCCAAAGTGGGACCCAACCTGGCTTGTTGGAGGAATTCACTGGCTGTCAGTGAGTGTGGAAGGATGCAAGCAAGGAGGTGCCTGGCTCCAAGGGAACGGGAGAGGTCAAAGTCTGTGTAGACCTTTGACGGTCAGGACAAATATTTAGGAGCCACTGAACAGTTTTCAGCAGGAGCTCATCACCACCACCAGAAGTTCCTGGTGCCCTCTTCCCCTGGGCATCAAAAGGCATCAGCAGTAAGGACTCCACAAGGAGGTGTCCACAGATGCTCATGCAGTCACTCCTTTAGTTTCATCAGATGGCATATGTGCATTTTAGTAGTAAAGAAGTGATTCAAATGGTCCATTTCTCAGGCCTTGACAGGCTACGGGGGGGGCTCTTGACATTGTCCTACCCGGTGGGCCCTTGCACGGGATGACCCAGGTGTGTGTCTATGGAGGCAAGGTCACGAGTGGAGTAAGGGGATGACCCTGTGGACAAATTCGGATACCCAGACTCCACTCCCCACACCCTGTAAGGCTCCTTCAGGAAGGAGCCTCCCTCTGGCAGGCTAAGGCAAAATTAACTCTGGGGCAACTGTCCACATCTCTGTCCGTTATGGAATCCGATTTCCACCTACCTGTTAATGGGGGGCATGGATGAGGCCATCCCTGAGTAGGTAAGAGAAGAGGGTGATGGAGGCTCCTCTTTTCTTTGCGGTGAGTTCACAGCTGTGGCTGATAACACTTAGCATGCTCCCGTCCCCATGAGAACATCACAGAACTTCTGATAACCCTGATGCAGGGGTCTCTTAATCTAGAGTCTATATGAAACCAAACACTTTGTGCGTCTTAAACCCTTTCCTGGAAAGCAAGCCCCCATAGCTGTCGTCCATTCCTGAAGGGATCTATGAACCAAAAAGAGTTTAAGGACAAATGACTTTTTGAAAAGATATTAAGGAGTAGAAAAGAAAGAAAAATGCAAACAGCTGGGTTTTCCTGCCCTCCCCAAATTTCCTTGGGTCAACAGCGATAAAAAAGAGCTTAAAATGAGCCAGCTGAACCAGGAAACCAGTGACAGGTCCTCTTCCCCGAAGGACCAACCCAACCTCCAGACATTATAAATGCCTTAATGGTTGCAGGTATCCTGGGGCCACCAGTCTCTGGGGACGGAGAGAGGGTGGAGTCTAGCCGTCAGACCAAATTCTGAGATTGCCACTGTACTTGCCCCACAGTTTGTGCGAGAACACATCATCCGTATGCCTCAAGAGGATTACCTGAGCTGGCTGCAGAACCGGATCAACATCTCCATCCGGCCCTACACCACACTGGCGTAGTCTGGGCCTGGGTGGACCAGCTGCCCCATGGAGGAGGACTAGACTACACCGTGTTCCTGCATCCTACCTGTATCCCTGCTTCCCGACTATGCCCATGGATACATTTTATGATCCAGTAGGGTCATGTGGAGACTGACTCCTGGTGATATTTTAAAGGGAGATATTCTCAGGTGGCCATCCCCCCAATTCCACACCCCAGCCCCAACTTCCCAGTCTCTGTTCTTCATTCCAGATTCCTTCACCCTCTTCATCTTCCTCAAATTCTGGATAATAAAATTGAGCTGAATGTTTGACGTCTGGCTGGGAAAGAGTTGGAGCCATAGAATTCAGGTATATTTAGACCTTGATAATGACAACAGTTACCATTTACCTACATAATATCATTTAAATCTCATGATAACTTGGTTAAGTAGGTACCGATGTTAACCCTATTTTACACTAACGGAGCCAGAGTGTACTTCTCAACAATATTATGTCTACTGCCTTGGATGGATAGTTGGGTGGATGGATGGATGGATGGATGGTTGGATAGATGGATATGGCACTGGTGTGCAAGAAAATCTCTGTCTTCAGAGTCCTTATATATTTTCTGTTGCTCTTAGTTGCAGGAGGAAGCTTGTCTTCCTGTCATCTCAAAATGTGTGCGGGCTCATCGATTTTTAGCCTCTTTTCTCATCTTGCTCTTATGCTCACCCACATTCTCCTAAGTTATAAGAACTGTAGACATTTTAATTTCCCTTAGTGATGGCCAGGCTGAATTAACAACTGAACAACTGGACTTGATTTTGCTGTCATGCCTGGATTCTCAGAGCATTCATGGAGGCTGGGCTTCAACATCTTTCTCTGACACTCCCAAAGTAGGGAGGAGAGTTGAACTGGAATTGTTATTCAGTCTAAGCAACATCTCACTCATCCTTTCACCCATTCACTTATTTATTCATTCACTGAATATTTACCGAGAGCCCAACATGCACCAACCAAGTTCCATGTGCTGAAGATACAGCTATGAACAAGGCGGACAAGGTCTCTGCTCTCATGGAGTTTACATGGAGACGGACAAGTCGACAAAATGTGATGGGGAGGGCAGAGAGACTGTGTGACATCACAGGTCCCTCCACGTGATCACCCTGTGTTTAACATTGTACCTTGAGAAGCTATTTGGGGCATAAAGGTCAGATACAGTCTACAAGGAGACTGCAAAATTAAGAGACCCTAAACATCTCTGTTTTAAACAGTAATTTGAGTGAAAGAGAGCAGAGAAGAAAGGAAGAGCATGAAAAAGAAGAAGAAGAAGAAAAACAGTAAGCAGGAGGAAGAGGAGGAGGAAAAGAGAGCTGAGTGGCCTAAGAGTGAGAAGAGACCTTGGGAGAAACCAACCAAGGCAAAGTTCCTGGGGCAGGGCTGGCTGGCGTGTCGCTGACAACTATGGTTCAAACCAGTCCCTGCACTTCATCACCCTGGACCTCAGCAATGTCCACAAATCCAAGTGTCCTCTGTGAGCAGTGTTTTGAGGAAATAAAGAAAAGGGGCTGTGTTCTACATCTGGGTCTGCTTAGGGGCAAAGAAAGGGCTTGAGGGACTCAGAACCAGAATCCAATAAAGATTTTAGTAGGAGCAGGAAGTCATAGCTAGAGAGCCTGCTATTCCACGAGCTCTCTACATTTATAGCAACCTTGAATGGACACGTGGGTCCCCCTAGACATGGAATGGGGACCCAGCTGGAATGATACATCTCTCAAACATCAGGTGACCGTCGCAGCTGACATTGAGTCACACTAGAGAATCAGAGCAATGGTGCCAAATGAAAGCAAGCACGAGAAGATCCTGGGGGGTGGGGGAGGGGAGCACTAACTCATACTCAAGATGTCAGGAAAGACTTTTGAGAGGAGGTGACTGATACCTGTAAGATGCATAGGAGTTAGCCAGGGAGAGAAGGCTATACCGGCAAATAAGGAGGGAGGAAAGAATGTTCCAGCTAGAAGAAACAGCATGTGCAAAGTCCTAGAGGCAAAAAGAAACTTCATTTGTCATTTGAGGAACTAAACATAAGTCCAACGGGACTATATTTCGGATTGAAAATACAGGACAGAGAAAGGCAAGAGGGAGATTGGGGAGGAGGGAGGAAGCCAGATGTTTGGATGCCTTCTAGGCCCCATGTTATGAAGTTTGGACTTTATCTGGCTAGCACCAGGAGCCATGGAAGGATTTTGACCAGGGGAATAATGAGATTTGCTTTTAGAGGGGAAATGGCACTCACACAGGGAGGAGGGAGCTAAGACGAGGCTGCGGCAGTGATCGTGGGGACAGCAATGTTGGGGGGATGGGGAGAAGATGCACATTGGAAAGATATTTACACAACAGCAAGAGAATTTGGAGCAGTGGATGACAAGTAGGAGATCGGGGAGCAGGAGTATCAGGAATCAAGGGTGGAGGATGATGCTTCGAAGGTGCCAGGAGAAGAGGAAGAAAGTGGGTCACAATGGGAAGGTGAGGAGATATGTTTTGAGCGTATTGAGTTGGAGATGCCCGCAGAACGGTCAAGTGCAGGGAGAGAGGGCTGTGCTGGAGACAGAAACATGACACCAACACTCCATGGCTCAGGGTGGTTAAAGAAAGAAGTGGAAGGAGAGGAGAAAGGGACCCATGAGGACAGAATCACAAGCAGCATCAAGCACCCACTCATAATCTAACACTTATTGGGGGTTGGGGGGCTGCTTTGTTCCAGACGCTGCACCAAATGCTGTTGCTATGTTATCTCATCTCATCTTCATAACCCTGCAGAGCAGGACTCTTGTGTTCTTCCTGTTTTGCAGATGATGAAACAGAGGCTCTGAAAAGTGTTCTGTACTCATCCAGCTGCTATGAATCCTCTCCCCACACCACTGCTCCCCTCCACTCCCAGCCCTCACTGTTAGGAAACACGGAGGTCACGAGAGTTATTGTGCTTCTGGAATCGTGCCCAAGGAGTGGCTCTAATGATGAGGCTTTCAGAGGTTCTGTCAGCTCGTATTTGCACTGGATTCCACAGTTTTCAAAGTGCCTTCTCCAGTAATATCTTATTGGATGCTCACAGCACCCTTCTGTGGTGGGCATTCTTATAATCCTCATTTTGCAAATAAGGATATCGAGACTTAAGGGTGTCCAATAGCCCTATAGCAGCAGGTAAGTGGCAGAGTTAAGTCTAGAACGAAGTCTGCCTGTCCTGGGCAGGGGGAGATCTAAAAGCCACTCTCCTGCTTGGCACGTTCCAAGCCTGTTTCTCAGAGCAATGGCACCATCTAGTGGCTTCTATTAGTATTACTTTCCCACCAAGCTCCCACCAGCAAAATGTCACCTTCCTGCCAGAAAGGAAGAAGGCAGGTATTAAAAGCAGTAGCAAGACCTACTCTGCTTAGACTAGGAGTGTTTACGCAAATAAGGGGAGATCTTTCACTACTAAAATAGACTGGGGCCTAGAGGAAGGAAGCACATCACCTCCCCAGCTCCGAGGCTCAAAGTAGAGCCACAGGGAGAAATATTCTTGCTGGGAGCCTCTTCATCAGAATCCTAATAAGCACCTACCATGTGCCAGGTCCCTGGGAGTCACTGTCTCCCTGCTCTGACCAACCCATCTGAGTGGTAATCGTGAGAGTGTTTAAAACTGTATGTGCTTTAGAGAAGCTTTTTCTTTAAAGGACTAGATAGTAAATATCTGCTATATGTTGTTCTTTTAATGCATTAATATATAGTCCTTTAAAAATGTAAAAACCATTCTTAGGTTGGACGTCATACAAAAACAGACCACAGACCAGATTTAGGCCATGAGTCATAGTTTGATGACCCCCCAGTAGAGGATAAGTTTAAGGATGGAGAGGAATTTTCTGATCTTTCCCCAAAAACTGAGACAGGAAAGACCAATGGAAATAATATGATGAATGTGTGGACAAAGGGAGGAAGTTGTACTCTTCAAAAGAGTTTTTGTCATTTTTGTGGGAAAGAAACGTATGCATAGGGTAAAAATTTGAGCAGTGCAAAAGGACATAAAC